GTTTACTGAGACATTCCAGTAATCATTGAACGTCGTTATATCGGCATAAGGTGTAGATCAGCAAAAGTACAATTACGATATGAAGAAGGTAGATGACCTACGTTAAACAGTGAAAATGTTTTTATTGTTCTTCATTCATAAATTGCCTATCTCTTATGCTCAAACCATGCTTATACGCAATAATTTCGTCGTAAGTTTTCAAATTTTCCAACGGTCAGCATGATCCCGACATGCTATGTAAATTTAAGGAAATCGTCACTACTCTTTTCTTTAGAAACCTTTTTTTCATTGAGCAAAGAAAAACACAGAAAATTTATAGCTTCTACGCAAAGATTTGTGTTCACACGTTGTGAAAACAAGGTTCCTCAAGACATGCATTCATCGAAAACAGCTACAAAAGATTATTTCATCTAGTGTGGAGTTATAATTTATCTTTTGATCAAATTCTTGTGTTTATTTTGCTAAGCGGTTATTTTATTCATATTCAGACTAGTGTTTTGGGCAACTAACGCTTCATAAAATTCAAACACAACTAGATTTGACGATTTTATTGTGGTCTTGGAGACTTTCTAGGAAATTTGGCGAATTTTCTCTTTTTTACAACAATTTAGATTTTGATCAAAATTTCGATCTCTCTCCGCATAAGATGGCTTAGAAATTTGTAGCAAAACAATATAGACCTATATCCTCCATGTCAGGAAAATATTTTTGCTAATATTTCCCTCAATGACATAATCAATTCAATGATTTATACCTGTGGCGTAGCCAAAAGGGGAGCCAGAGGGCCTGCTCAGCAGTTACAGCTGCTCAACTTCTTCCGTCTTTACAATTTGACAAAATGTAGTCAATTTTAAGGATCAAAGCATAGACTATTTGTTTATCCGTCGACTCTCGAATGATATAGGAAATATTTAGCAAAAGAAAATATCGGCGTTGTTGGTTTTGTAAAGCCAGATATTGAATTTCGATGAACAGAGAGTTAAAAAGAGCTTCTACAAACATTTACGACAGTCTTAAAGCTTTTGTTTCAAAATCTTATTCTTGATTCCAGCGAGAGACCTGCTTACGGGAAATGGAACCCTTACTACAAATATTATCGTCTATGCAGCATAAGGCTTTTGATAGAGCCGTAAAAGTAGAGAAAAGTAGAACAATACACCGACACATTATGAGATGATGTTTCATTCTTACTTAATTTAGAAAGTCTTTTGTAAAATTACGATACATTTTCCTGCTATACGTATTCAAAATGTTGTCTTAAACATTCAAAAGCATGAACTTGCAAGTTTCTGCTTGTGTGCTCGCCCAGCAAAAGTTTGAGAGAGATTGACATATGTCAGCATCTCGTTATGCGAAATGTCAACCGAGAGTTTTACAACCGATTGAAGGGATCTCAAGGAACTCTGTCAAAGCATTGAAGAGCGAATTATTGCAACGTGAAGCGATGATTAATACTCAAGAAACACCTGATCGAATTCAAAATTAATATAGTCTTCCTGATTCGCCCATGTAGAACTATCGTGGTCATAAATCTAGCTATATTCTTTGGTAGAGTCATATGCTTCAGTTCAATATTTTAATACTTTGCAAAATTTGCCTGCAGATGAATATTTATACTCTGTATTAGGAATGCCAAACTTTCCTATTGAATTAAATGTACTTGTTATGCACTGACAGGGTATTTGCCCCGATCCGCAGACTCCATGAGTTTATGGCAATAACTCATCTTAGTTTGTATTGAGTGAACATAAAAACAAGGAAAGGAGTAGAATAAACATATTTCCTTGGTTGGAAGATCCACTTTTACATCATGACAAGACTTGAAAACTTCAGTAGCGTTAGCACATTCCTTGTAAGTTATATTAGCGTAATCACATGTTGCTTAGGAATATAATTTTGCTGTAAAAGCCCCAGCAAATGTTTTGTGCATAATAGCACTTGGTCTTAAGCTCTGTTTTTCTCTTCCTCAACTGGGAAAACCTACTTATGATTGCTTGAGATGCGCATATCCAAAATAGGGCGCGTTCTTGTTATAACTCGATTAATAAAGTGTAAATGGCTACAAATTAGAAACTGACAAATAGCCAAGAAACATTATTGTATGAACATCTAGATTATAAGTCCCATACTACTTTTCCTTGACAACTATTTAGCATGCAATGTACTCCAGAGAAATAACTAAAGTAAGATATTTTGTTAAAAATAGCACGTTTTCATATCTGTTTTCGGGAAAAGCCGAATCACGTGAACGATCATTAGGTACACCATTATGAAATTTTTGGTGTTATGTCTTAAACGTACTCGTATTGATAATGAAACATCGATCTGACAAGTATGAGAAGCAGGTTGTGATGGCCTCGTGCTGTGACATCCTTTTCGGTGTGCATGTTTGCCATCATAATTCTTCCTTCTTAGAAACCTAAGACGAACTTTCACGTTTCGTGCATTATCAAGCATATTATTATGCGGATATATAACTATGTGGTTATGAATTCCTGGTCGAATTACACGATATATGTTTATTTTCGTTCCCATTTTCTTCATCCTCTCTTAGAAAACTCTTCGATATCGTATCGCGAGATAAAACAACTTATGGGTGTATCTGTTGTCGTCGACCATTTTCATCGTTTTCGTTGGCGACTGGCCAAGCCACGAGAGACTCGAAAGCTTTGACTAAGAAATTAAATGTGCCGGAAATTCAACTTCGCACAAAAAGAGGATTGGAATTTCAACAATAGCAAACAAAAAAAAGCAAAAGGTACGAGTGTACTGTCGAAGAGATACTCTTGTTACATTTGCCCACTGATGTTGTCAGCTCGTGACTTGGGGCAAAATTCCCTAGTGTTTGTTGATCACTAGCTACTTCATATGTAAGCCGTGTAAAGCTCTCTGAAGAGGAAATTATATTTTGAAAAGCGAATGAACAGAGGAACTATAAGCAAAATATAAGTGTGAATAGTGTCTCCCACAAATGATACACTTGTGATGTGATATTTGTGCCATTAGGTGTTTTGTTTTCGGAAAACGGTCTGCTCTGAATACCTAGAGGTCAACAGAAAATGTTTGTACTCAATGGTTTGTACCACATGCCCTTTTGAAAAGTACGTCATGACTCGGAGATCACAAAGTTCACTTTCCACGCTCAAGATTTGCTTTCAAACTTCACAATGTGACCATTTATTGCGTACAGATAATACCTGTGTTCGAAGCCACTAGTTGCCATGTGTTTCGTGCGCATGTGTCGTCATGAACGAAAAAGATCTATAAAATCAATAGGATGTGAGGAAAAACTAAAACCAAGCATACCTAAACAGTGAATTTTCTTTTAGAATTTCGGGGAACATAGCGATGTAAAATGTTTCATCTGTCTTTTCTTATACCACTAGATTATGGGTTTATGACTGTACGTTACGATTATTTCGATACGCGCTTTTGTTTGGAGCATTTTTGCTCGTATGTGCGTGTCTTTTTAGTAAAATCAACAAAGTTTTTGTTATGATATTAATCTGAGAAGAGTGGAAGATCAGCTTACAGCTTTGAACGTAAATTATTTGGGAATTGCAAATTTGGCAAAAATTTCAGAAAGTCAATGTATTAATAACAATTATTGTAATTTTGGAACTGACATTAAACCACGTTGTTTTCAATACAGTTATTGCACTTTTCAAATTTAGCTACTTGTTGGTCTTTAAAATCACGTTGTTTTTGTCAGAGAAATAGCAAAAGAAAAAAGTGATTGAGCTTAAAAATGTTAACTAATGAAGAAATCAAATTTCCATGTATCGAATAGCATAGCATGAAGTGTATTGAAGCAAGAAAACGAAAATTTGATGAAATGAAGAATACATGGTTTCCCAGAACAAGGCAATTGAGAATGTTCTGTAATATGTTTGTTGTATCTTCTTGAACATTTTCAACCTTGTTCAACTTCAATTCGGGTATGCTTATTAGTATAAAGTCACATTTTGTTTTGATCTCGTCATTTAAAATCCACAGTAACCTGCTTTCTTTATGAATATATCGGCCTATTTTTTTTTACTTCAAGAAGCCCCATCATGGTTTTTTGGCTTAAAACTAACTCAGTTACAGAATCTTTAAACCCCGAGACTTTAATCGCTCTTTAAAAATTAAAAAATTGCAATTTTCACATTAGCAAGTTAGAAACTTCAGCGTTGTATTATTTGAATATGAAAATATGAAAGGTTTATTATCCATCTTCAGATTAAAAAGTACGATGAATTTTCATTGATTTTCTATATATTTATCATACTATACTAAGAATTACATGTTAACTTTATTATATATATATTTACAAGATCTAGCAATAAAAGATTGTTTATGACGTTTGATCCCGGATAAAATACTAAAGTTTTACTTTTACGCAACTCGTGCAAATTTTCATTGGGATAAGGTACTAAAAATTTGCATGGATGATCAGGTTCCATTATAATCCTTTTGATCACTTGGGTAGTTGCTATCCACATATCCTTTGTTTTTTTCGGGTTCAGAGCCATTCTGTTATTATCAGCCCATTTCTGCAATTCGTTGATTACTTTTTGCATGGAACTGCGTTCACCTCTTTCAACAATCTGGTCCTGAGTGCAATCATCCGCATATTTAGATGTATTAACATCTATTTCTTTAGGAATATTGTCATCTAAATCATTTATATATTCATTAAAGAGACACATTTAGGAGTAATTTTAAAACTCGTCGTCTACTGTACCATAATCTTGAAATGCATAAGCCAAGAACTCATACAAGGAATTTAATTGGGTTTTATTAAAAACGTACTCTCAAGTATTCGCATTAATGACACAAGAAATCCTTATGTTTTCATTCTTTTAAAGGATACATACATTTTCCCGCGCTATGTGGAAATGGACAGAACGCAGAAACGCTGAAAAACATGTCGTCTTGGTACTCGCACGAAAGCCAGAGTTCTGAATGAAGTGCGCGTCTTTTATCCAAGTCACGGTTAATATAATATGCTGCCTCGCTGAGCTTCCGCCACAATATTATTGAGCCCGCGCGACTAGCGGATATCGAGGATCCCATTATCCGTGTTATTCTAACGAACGAAATTTAGCAAAACAAAATCTCTATACTTCAATTTCTTATTACCCTGAAATTAAACGACAATTTTTATGGCGTCTTCGGCCGCTAAGGTACGTTCATATGTATTGCCTTAACGTATTTGAGATAACTGATATGTTATCTGCCTCTGGCTTGTTGGTTTGAGTTTTTGTGATATTTCGTATGGAAAACGTGGCAAGTACGCGTGATCGTACCATCATGATAAATCAAAGAGTCCACGATTGTCACTTAACTTTGTCTAATCCACTTTCTTCCTTCCCTAGCTAAAAGGATATCGCCAAGAATTTACAACAAAGGTATTTATACTTTGCTCTTACGGTCTTTTCGCAAACTTTGCAATGTTCAAAAGTTCTTTGGGGCAATGCACTATCTTAATCTCGTTGACTAGTTCAACAGTTCATATTGAACAAATATTGCATTGGCTCTGTTATTGGAAGTAGTTTGTTTGCCCAAACTGTTTGGTACCCCAATCTGCGAATTTTGGCGGAAAACACAAGAAGGCAATGGTGTGCACCTGTTTCTAGCAAATACTGCCTGTGATTTATCCAGTTGAGAACATCCCCCAAAATTCTATTGGTTTTATGATTTGGGATTGACTTTTTTAGTATCTTTCTTTGTCTAAGGATTACATAATTTTTGCTGGACCTACCACACCAACTTTTACACTTATTTCAAAAATGGGGTCGAAATCTTGTGTGCTCTTAGACTTAGCTTCACTATGGTCTACATGAAGTAAGGCAATGGACAACAAAACAGTCTGCACATTAACAACTGCACATAATTTATGAAGATTTTCTACCTGTCATTTGGTTGCTACCATGTGGCATGCAAATATTTTTCTCACAGAATAAAGAGCTTCGATTCCTATTCCCTTTATTCAATGAGATTTTACTTTTTGATGTATTGATCAATGCAAATTCAATACACTTTTGATTATTGCTCAATTGTATTTTCATCAAAGACCAATAATATGCATTTGTAAAAGAAATGCCAAAAATGTCTTAGAAATCATCAATTAATTAAGGAGAAAAATTAGTGGATTGGCTTACCAGTGGTGAAGACAGCCGGAATTTTTACTCCTGGCATGCAAAAATTTAAACTTAATTCATACTTGTGCCAACTGGTGGGGTTATTGCAATTATGGAGAAAGCGAGAAATGGTTTGATGTTTGAGATGTTATATGTGCTTGTGAGACAAAGGTGAACCCTTCCTGATAAATATGGTGGTGTGAAGATGATGTCATTAAGTAAAGTAGATCCCTTTATTGTGTTTTTTTTTGGGAAGTGAATTGTGCGAGACTGTTATGTGTACAATGTAAAAATGGGTCCATGGACGATTTGTAAACTTAGTAAGAATGGGATCCTGAGACTGTTTGAGAGGTTTTGTGTGTGGAAGATGCGAGAAGCAATTTGATTAATAATGGAATCATTGAAGGAGTGTTGGCGAAGAGTTGGAAATTGGTCACTGTTATTCAGTCAGTGGCATGGCAAACTGGCGAGTTTGGTTGTGCTGTTTAAATTTCAGATCATGACTTCAGATTATTCATTTCTTTAGATCTAATTTTTTAATGAACACTGAAATATTTACATAGCACGACTTGTATATGAGTAATGTAGGTGACAGCAAAAGCTAAAATTTGCTGGTTGAAGTACAGCGATTGCGGGCAGCTTTCCAACTGGAAAGTAATGGAAAATTTTGTGAAGGACCAGACAGCAATATGTGGTGCAGAAATAATGGTGGACAACAGAATAGATCACATAAGAGATATGTTGAGATTACAGAAAACAATGGCTCAAATGGCCAAGGCGAACGGAGTGAGATGGTACGGCTATGTGATGTGATGAGCAGGGACTTTGAGAGCTTTCAAAAGTTGTGGGTGCTCCATAACTACCATATTCGTTATATGATAGCGCAAGAAATTTATTTTAGTGATGAAACTGTTTTGTGTCAGTTCATTTTTTATATTTGCGTTTCTTCTTTTCTAGCAAACATTACAAAAATCGGCCAAAATGCTTTTGTTGTTTTTCGTCACACACAAGGGACTTTCGTATTTTGTGACTTCCGTATTTCGTGACTTTCGTAAATGTTCAAGACATTTAAAATCCCCCGATTCATGGTACCCGTTCATTAATTTGAAAATTTGATACACCCGTATAACCCAGCAATCAAGATGTCGTCAACGTTCAAGAAAAAGCTAAATTTGTTCATGTCCTTCATATTGGCGACACCCAATCTTCAACAGTCTCACACACCAAAAATCGCACCATCCAAACGTGTTTATTTCAGTGTCTGAGCGAGTCAGTAGCACTTTAAATAGTAGTTGAATTAGCTAGCTACTTGAAGCAGTAGTACGATTTTTTAAGACGCATTGTACTTGAATTGTATTTAAAGGAGTTGTTCGGCTGAGTAATGCTTGTGAATTTTTTATATTTTTAAGACTGAAGCATTGGTAAAAGAGGTTTTCCCTTTAAAAGTTCTTCATCTTAACGATTTTATGGTAAGTGCAGTGGTATACGTAAGCCGTAACCCATTCCCGCTCTGAAAATTTAATGTATTTACTGATTGTCAAAACAATAAATTTCCGAGGAAATGAATAATAATGTTTCAAAATTTATTTACCATGACTAAACCGTGCGTGCTGGCTATACATTACATTTAAGAAGTAAAATATGCTTACTGTGTTTGCACAGGCTTATGCGAACCGATAAGACCTTTGTGAGCCCGAGACCGAAGGTCAAGACTCGAGAGTTGGTTTGCATAAGTCATTTCAAACACGAAAACTGTCATATATTTCTTTTATAAAACAACAATAATGCGAAACAGACAAATTTCAAACAAACGTTTTAATTTTCCTCTGAAATGTATTCATGATTGTGAATGTAAAAATGACTTTATTTGCTGTCAAAGGGACCTGTTTCGAAAAAAAGCTGGTTTTAACATTTGATTTGCTTGCGAGAACAACACATGAACTTGAGCACTAGCGAGCCTTATGTGCGCAAATGCTTACCATTTTTTATATCTTGTACCTTCATGCATTTCGTTTTGTTTGTTAAACAGAAAACGAAGTTTGAGTCGACAGATTTGAAAAAGATAAATGTTGACGTTGGTGTTCACGTGGCTAACGACCTTGAGGTTTGATTATTGTCAGTACTCACGTCATTGTCACGTGGCTAGTGACGTTAAACTTTGATTATTTTCTGTGTTCATGAGTTAAAATACTCGCATGGATACAGAAAATGGCGATTTCTTTGCAAATTGTAAATATTGTTCAATCCTATACAGCAAACATCCTAAAATACCCATCACAGAACAATCACAATTCTTACTTCAAAGTTTTGAATGCTAATCGAGCATTCCATTGTATTAAAAAGCTAATAACACTTTGATAACACAAGGTTCGCTCATCTGTAAACCTAAAATATAGCTGGAGGCGCCGAGCAATTTTAGCTAGGATACCGATGCACCCCTTGGAAAATTACTACCCCTCCTGTCAAATGAGCATTGATCTGCCCATGGTCACTGCTATTAAAAATTTTTGTTTGCTGTACAGTGGCGTGTGCAGCCACCTCGCAAGTTTGGTTGTGAGTACAGGGCATTTTTTGAGCAATTTCAGAGTGAAGCAAATCTTAATAAGTCTGTGATACACAGCTGGCTATGTGTTTGTCTAACCTGTTGCAACAACCATGAGTGATATGCTGCATCCAACAATCAAAAACCCATCCTTCGCAGTGACAACAACAGTCATTTTATCCGGAAGTCACAACCGTAGCATGCTTAGGGCCTACTTACGGGTAAATGCCTCAGTGCTCGTGAGGTTAAAAAATGCCCTGGAACACTTCCATAGTTTGTTTTGTTGCCGTTTGTTTATCTATGTTATTTAAAATATCATTGGATTTCAACAAGCAGATTGACGTGTCTGATGTTTTCACGAGAGTTTTCTGACGCAAACTCTTTTCTCCAGCCCTTAGCTAAAAAGAGGAAACATCAAGACGAGGAGCATGTTATACCACATAACGCTGGTATTGTCAAGAATGGTAGGAAATGCATTGACGCAATTAAAGCTCGATTTACTCCTTAAAAGATTGCTGTTTACTGTGGTCGCATGCAAGGTCGTCTAATCGTAGAGGTGAGCCGATGATCGGCAGAACATCGGCAGAACATCGGCATGGTCAGCGTAGTTAGGCAACATTAATCGAAATTTGGCAAACTCTGTTCTTTTTTGACAGTGTTTTCGTGGTTTCGGGAGTTCAAAGAAACAGTATCATGGTCATGCTTTGCGGGCTTAATGTATATGTTTTCTAGCAGCAACTTTCGTGTGAAGATTGTAGTTGTCAAAATTAGACTGGTATGGGGAGTACAATGTATCAATTCAATGTTTCGTGCAACTTGTTCTTCGATGATTTTTTGAATTTCCATTGTGCTGTTTAAATTAAGTGGCTTGGTTCTGTCTATTTTATTTGCTTCATCGAACATTTAAGTCCAATATCTTCTTTCAAACTACATAACCATGTATATTAACCAACGAACCCTTCTCACCACCACCCAACACCCCACCACCCCACCCCGTAGTTCTATTTTACGGTCTTTTTGTAGCCAAAGTTTTTGAGGTTAAGAGTTATGCTTTTGCTTTGATATTAGTTCATTTAAATTGCGTTCCTAATATACTAAAACGGCAATGTTCAAGGTCTTTAAAATGGGACCAAGCGCGCAAAGCACGCCTGATCCTTGATACTCATACATAAGAAACAGAAGAGTACGTTTTCCGTCACGTTCTGTTCTTTTTTATATAATAATCAATTATCTTGATTATTATTGGCTCATCGGCTCACCACTGCGTTCTTAATTGGTAGGTTTTTCATCTTTGACAAAGATCTTGAGTTGTTTGAGAGCATTGTTTGAGAGCACGAAGATCCCTCTGTTATGTAGCTACATGTTATTGGACGCTCTAGCGTTTTCCTGATTATTTTTTTACTTTTGTCAACGTTTCGTACTTTGCCGATTTCAAAACACCTGTTATGAGTATGATCAGACGAAAAATTTACTTGGTACTTGCAGTGGTGGATGCAGACTACCTTAAAAATAAATTACTGCTGCGCATTTTGGCGTATATTTACATTTCTAAGAACCTTAGAGGTTAATTTTAGTAAGGGGTAAAATCATATTCTTTAGAAATGAAAACCAATAGTATTTTTCTGAAAGTGATTTGAATTTAAAATTGACGAGCTATAATTTATTTTGACGTACACTGGAGCCGCCACTGTGAACTTGTTTAGTCGAGAATACTCTTAAAACTATGCCTGTAAAGTACGACTAACTGTGAAACTTAACGGTCGTCGCTGAGTTGTTACAAAATGCGCCTTTTGTGATGGACACTAAATTTACATGTTTGTAAATGTCGATCGTCCAGGCTGGTATAGTCCCGAGAAGGACTGTTTTTGTTGTTATTGACTGACGTTTCGACAACCTTAGGGGTAGTCATTTGACTCTGAAGATGACTACCGCTAAGGTTGTCGAAACGTCAGTCAACAACAACAAAAACAGTCCTTCTTAGGACTATAACAACCTGGACAATCGACATTTACAAACATGTAACGATACTCCCGGGTTCAAACCATTTACTTTATTACGGACACTAAATTTGTTGCACTTTAAGAGAAGGCTTCCGAGGCTAGCATAATATATGTGCCAGTTGTATGATTTTAACATTGGAATGGTTCTTTTGTATTTCGATGGGCTGTCTCAGCAGTAGAAAAATGAATAACTTTTCAAAACATTTTCAACTCTGAAATGACACCAAATTTTTTGTTACGGGTTGCGGTTCATATTTAAACGGCAAGAGACCCTTCTCGCGGTAGGTTATTTACGGCAGGCTTTTTAGTACGTTTCCTACAACCAAGAGACGTTTTTGGCTCAATGGCTTATTTTTATTTGTATATACAACATGAATATGCCTTTTTATTGAAAAAACTGTCAACAAAACATGAAATTTAGCTCAGGGCAATGCCAATTGTAAAATAGCAATGCAAAACGTCATGCTAAATTCAATTATTTTCGTAACGGCAAATCTCAACGGCAAGCGGATAGCTGAGGTTCGCCGTTTGATAAAATTCGCTATTATGTCAGTCAGTGATACGCATCTTAATAAGTCAACTCGGCGTCGTTGATTATTCTCATATTCATCTCACTGCTCCCTCGTGAATAATTTGTTTGACGATGATTGTGTTGACTTCAGTAACCAACTGTTTATTGTGGGTTTTTTTTGAAAAGAAATAATCATCCCAAATCCAATCTCAAGTTATCTTAATCCATGGAACGATCTCATTTTAGATCATTTCTTGTAATATTTATTTCATCGTTACTTCTTTAGGTCCTCTGAAAGCTATATCTCTGAATCAGGTACGTATTTTCGGTATATCGATACCGGAAGAAATTTTCGGCATTTCCCCGCTTCAAACACAACCTCCCTCCCAAAAAAACGCGCATGTGTTAAAATTCTTGCAGTTTGCTGTAATAACTTGAAACGCTCTGAAATATTGTAGACTCTGGTGGATCTTATTGAATCGCTTAAGCCAGAAATCAAGGAATTGATGGAAAACTGTAACTCGGTAGGTTGTCTTGATTCTTACAAACTGTGTCATTCTTCTATCGCATTCTTCTATATTTGGATTATATTTTTCTGCAAGCATAACTTTGAATACACAATGATTATGTACCTTTTAAATTAGTTTATTCATAGCACTTTTCATTCTCAAGATATTTTAGTTCGTGTGATGTAAACACGCAACTTGTGTCGTCACATTGCATTATGAGAATTTGAAAGAGCAGGTGTATTTGCTTACATTTTACTTCAACCGATTAGAGTTTTGTACTTTGTGAAGAGTTAATGGTATAAAAAATTGCCTAATCACTTCAGCCAAAATTGTCTGCATACTAAAGGGTGTTTTAAACTTTGCAGCGACTTGTTATGCAAAATAACGTCACAAGTTGTGTAAATCGCACATTACAAAAACTTCAATATCTTGAAAATGAAAATAGACATGTATAAACTGTTCTAGAAGATATAATTTCATTTTAAAAGTTCTGTTGAATGAAAATATAATTAAAGTGGTAAATTTTAAGGTGGCGTGGCAATGCATGCGAGTGTTTTCTACTTTCTACTCTATAACAAATAAACATTTATTATTACATACAGTAATACATTGTTACGTAGAACTTTTTCAACGTAACTTTGGATATTTCAATCGAACGTCGTGCTATTAGTTACGTACGGACACCAAATCACGGTACATAAGCTGTCTTCGTGAACTTTCGTTGACTATAATTTTAAAATAACCACCGGCTGCAGAACCGTAGCCATAGAAATCTCTGTTGATACATCACTCTTACGTTGTCACTCGAGATAGACGCATACGCGTTCCTATACAAAGTACCGCATTTGTCTTATTGAAAAAAGGATGATTCCTGTTTATTCTCAGGTGAAAACGTGGATTCAACTTCTCATACCGAGAATTGAAGATGGAAATAATTTCGGTGTTTCTATTCAGGTAATTTTTCATCTGATTCTTCTGTCTTGGTTTTGAAAGATTCGAGAATTGTTTTTTTGTGCATATGTCATTTTTCCCGTCTTATCGTATCAGACGCGGTACCAACTTTATTATCTGATGTGACAATTCATTGCATGGAGCATTGCCCGTTGGTGCTGGGTTTTTTGAAGTCTGTATATGCTATTTTGAATAAATTGGAAGATTTTGAAGACGGAATATCTCATTTACTTCCTTGAACAGTGAGAGGAAGTGAAAATTTCTTTCCTTAACAGTCGGAGAGACCGAAGATTACTTTTCTTTAAAGTTTGGGGACTGACCATTACTTCCCATAATAGTCAGAGGGTCTAGGGATTATTCTTTGCTTAACAGCCAGAGGGGCTAAAAATTACTTTCCTTAACAGTCACGAACTTAAGATTGCTTTCCTTAACAGTCAGAGGAACTGGAGATTACTTTCCTTAACAGTTGGAGGGACTGAAGACCTATCATTTTCTTTTCATCTTTCTTAGAGACGAATAGGTTTTTCAGGCCTTCACCTCGTTAAGTGTCTTTTTTGATACATTTTGTATGGCTGCCCCTATCTCGGCCACATTCTTTTTTAACATATAACGAATTGTTTGGCACTTATCCGAAGGAGTGACTGTGATGTTAAACTTTTATATCTCTGTACCGAGCACTATTATCTCGTACCTCAATTAAAATGCTGACATCTCGACGGTTTTCTATGCAGGATAAACTGGACTAGAGTTGCTTTTAAGCTCCTAAACCCTGTACGCTTAAATTTCCATTTTATTCTGTGATTTGAATAGGAAGATGTTCTGGGAGACGTGACCAGAATAGAATCAGAAGCAGCGTCTTTCTTAGATCAAATATCTAGGTATGTTACACAAAGTCTAGGTATGTTACACAAAGAACTCTTGGGTCCTGCATTTCGACTAATATTACTCGAGTCTGAGTGTTAAACAACACTTGAGCAGTTCAGGCTGGCACGTCATGTTATGTGCTGATAATAAACATAAAATTTATCAACAAGCTGAGCCAGCGATCATAAGAAGCTGAATCATTGGATTGTACTCAACATGAAGGCTATTTTCTACCAATGTTTTAAACCAAAGATTAAACGGCAAAGAGAAAGCTCGTTTCCACAGACGGGACTTTACCTGCAGACAGACGTTTGCAATGCATGTATAGCCATGTTGATGTTAAGCTGGCATTCCTTAATATTTTCAGTTCGATGATTTGAAACTAAATGGTTCGAGTTATTATACTTTGTAATAAGCGTATTTCATTAATGTAATATCAAGAAGACATACAAGGCATCATGAAAAAGTAATCTTAAGTCGCCTTCAGTCTTTAAGCTCTCGATGAAAGCTTTCGTCAGCCATACTAGGAAATCGTGTTTTAAAGTGCGGTTGGCAATATTTCAAAGTATTACTTAAGCTACGTGCAAACGCGCTCAACATGTTGACTCAACATTTACTCAACATTATCTTGCTCTTTTTGTGTGATGTTTAGCGATGTGTGCAAACGCTCTCAACGTGTGGAGCGATGTTGAGCCTATGAGATAAAATATTCCACGATGCTTAGCAATAGCGGGAACTATACATACATATTCAGTTCAGTGACGCCATTTTTACAAAATATACGCCGCACAGTGCGCATGCGTTAGCTCAACATTGTTGAGTGAGCCGTGCAAACGCACTAAACAATGTTTAGACGTGCATCGATGAGCGCGGAACAAAAAAAATGATGAGCGCTGTTGAGTCGAATGTTGAACAAGTTCAAACTTCTCTCAACAACGCTCAACACCGCTCAACACATCTCAAAACACCACTCAACAGGCTGTGCAAATGCGCTCATCATGTTGAGTCTACAATGTTGAGTGAACATGTTGAGCGCGTTTGCACGTAGCTTTACACACCGTTGACCATTGTTTATATCTGGCTAATATCGGTCGAATTTTGCTGAACGAAAAGTTCTTACTGAGAGTACTTTTCATCCAACTCTCCCCATTATCTTCGCTTTTGCTGTTGTTGACCCGTCTACAATTCTTTATTGTCAATTTTGCTCTAGATATTTTATTACTCGAGGAAAGGTGGTTTCGAAAGTGGTCAAATATCCACACGTTGTAAGTATAAAGGGGAATTATACATTGACTTTAAACTGGCTTTCTTTTTTAAGCCGAAGCTACCTTAGTGCTTTCTGACTTGTGCGAAAACAGTTTTCAAACGAGTCGTAGTAAAACCGGCTCCGTTCTTCGAAATTTATTGTTTTGAAATATTCGTGTAATAAAAATTAATGCCCAACATAAAGTTTTAATTAGAGCCATAGAAATAGACCAAAAATTGTAAAGACAAAACGTCACAATAAATTCAATTTTACAATTTTTGGTCTACTTCTATGGCTCTAATTAAAACTTTATGTTGGACATCAATTTCTGTTACACGAATTCGATTTCCGCTCGGCAAGTCTCTCGCTACTGTTTTGAAACATGGCAAGCATTTTTGTTGACATTCCCCGAATTAACGATTTCGCTATAGAGTGTTTTTATGTGACGTCAAGGCAGCCATGTTGGAGGACTACATCAAAGTGCCGATGCTCAACAGAGCATGAAATTAGCTTAAATTCTTTTCACTATATGCGATTTTCCCCCAACATGACGACCAATGAAAACACTCTATTGCGGTTTTTGCTACACTCGTTCCTCACCATTGAACTAAAATACATGGAACGCCATCTGAAGCTAATAATTGAAGCCAAATCTTACACCCAGACACGCGAGATTACACCCAAACACGCGTGTGTAGCGTTTCGAGATTCTCTCGCCGGGTGAAATGGCTGATTGGCTACACACGCGTGTCTGGGTGTAAATTTGGCTTCAAAAAATTATTAGACTTTTCTATTGCAGGTAGCATTCCATGTATTTTACTTCAATGTCCGTCACTTATCGTGAAAATATCTTTCAGATGGATTACAGAAGAACTATCGTAGAACTGGATGAAAAGGAGTTCATAAGTTTAAAGTTATGCTGTTGCGAATTGAAGAATCATTATGTGAGTGTTCTTGAATTTCACTCCTCTTAAATTAAGAGGGGTTTAAGGGTGTGATAAACATAATGGTATTGGTAGGCAGGTGATCACGTGACCGACGTCTTTCTCTGTGCATTAAGATATGCAAAATGTCTTATACAGTCTATTTTGATAATTTATTCTATAATTTAATGAAGTATTAGCTACAAAAAATGCTCCGAATGATAGGTCCATTTTGAACTCCATATTTGCTTAAGAAAAGCGAAGACAGTTTCACAGTTTCAGCTTATTTGTCTTTCTCAAATAAGAGGATGGATAATGGACGTTTATTTGGAGTTTCCAATCAGTAGTTTATATTATACAAAAAAGATGTATTTCGTGTTTGCACAGCCTTGTGCAAACCGAGGAGACGTTTGTGAAAACTCGAGAGTATATCTGTGGTTTGCACCTGCACAAGAGTTTTGCCAAAGCCTTTGCAAACTCAGATTTGTTTATTTCTTTTATTAAATAACGATGATGCGAAGCAGATAAATTTAAAACAAATGTTATAGTTTTTCCTATAACTTGTACTTATGATTATATGCAAATTTTATTTAATAGATTTAATTAATTGTGCTCAGTTGCATCCGTACAATTTAGAGGAAATATTAAAACATTTGTTTTCATATTATCTGTTTCCAATTATCGTTATTTTATAAAAGAAATAAAAGATGTCATTCGTGTTTCCACTGGCCTATGCAAACCTCCGACCGTTTTGAGAACTTTTGAGCTGGTGGAAAACCTCTACCTTCGGTCTTGAGTATGCACTGATCTGCTCTCGAAAGGTCTCCTCGGTTTGCATGTGCAAACACAGTAAACCTCTCTTCTTAAACATGTCATGATGAATCGAAGAGAAAAAGTTTTTTTTGCAATTGGATTTTACAGCTATGTCTTCACGATACTATCACTAAAAATCTGGACAAGATCAAGAAACCGCGATCATCGAACACCGATTCTTTGTACTGACAAAGAGCTCATGCTAGCTTCGCCATCGCCGTCTTCCCGTTTCTGTATATTGTACACGTAACTGAATTTGAAGACAAGGACGACATGCGACGCGAGAGAGGCACCGTATAAAACTATATACAAATAACAATATAAAACTAACAGTTCTATTACTTAAATGATATTTTAGTCGAACGGCGACTGTCGAGGAAAATTGTCAACGAAGAAGGCGACAACGGTTCCTTTATTTCCGTAATGTAGAAGATGACAGATAGACGTTTCACCAAAATCGAATACATCAAAAAATCGCGTGAGAAAGGACTCGTTTTTCGAACACGAGGAAGCGTCATACTTATTTCTTTTTAAAAAGTGCTTATAACCGTATCATGGGTGTTTATTGATTCAGAAAGTTCTCAAAAAGTTTGTGAACAACTTCTACATTTTATAGTTTTTACATACAAAAAGGTATTTCTGGGAATATAGCTCGAACACAGAATTTGAAAGACAGCGTATCTCAGAAATACTCTTTCAAAAACATTATAGAAATCGCATTGTAAATTATGCTTTGTCATAGACTTTATTGCGAAATTTGCCTTCTTTATGACAGTTCAAACACTGCGCGGGTACAAGAAAATTGTATTAAGCATTATAATATAAGCTGAAAAAATTTCCACAGATGTATTCCTGGGCTCCTGTCCTCAAGTTTGCTGTTTTTTCCCCTTAAAGTTGTGTTTGAGCTGTCATCATTTTGGAAATACGCATTTTGGGAAGTTTAAGACATCACTTTTCGAGATCTATCAGTATCAATAAAAACCCAAAATGAGGATATTGAGCACGTTTCATGCTTTTGGATGTTTTGTTGTCGTCTTTTTTTTAATCTTTCATGCTCGAGGTCCGTGATATTAAATTCTTGTAAAATGTATCCTAGCTATCCTTTATTGTCATCTTTTAGTTCCTGGCGTTGTTTCTTTCAAACTTTGTTTATAAATTGGCCATATCTTATGCTGATCGTCATCGTTTTGTTAGGTAAGATCTTTGAAGAACACGTTTTGGAATTCAGCGTGTTTTTAGCTCGTACCATATTGATGATCTTATAGACAATGAAGAGATTTGCTTTGATTGGTTTCTTTGAGCGCCGTCTCTTTTCAGACGTTCATCTTTGAAATTCGGGTCCTCTTGACAGCTGGGAACGGTCAGTGTATTGTTAACTATCCTAACTTTTCTGTGGCCTTTTTATTCCATACGAGTTTATAGTTTAGAAGCATACTTATTTAAATGCAAATAATTACCCGGTCAGGTAACTCAGGTTAGTGAAATTGCAACGAAATTAAAATTTCGAAAGATACAAAAAGTAGCTGAAGCTACAAAATTTCGAGCTATAAAAGTAAATATTGTTTATTCTAAGCGGTTTGGCAAGCTTTACATGTCATCATTAGCATAATATGCGAGCTTTATATATGCATAATGAGCAATGCCAATTTAGTTCAATGTCGCCAGAAAGATGTAAGCTAAAACAGTTCGAGACCGCTATCATTTCAAATAATATTTGCAATTCAACCAGAAAACTGACTGATAGAATTTTGCGTCATGAGCACTGAAATCGATCATGTTATGTCAGTTAAACGAGGGTCTGATCCAGGATGGTTTCGTAGGAGTGGTGTTCCAATTTGAATTAGATTTTTGTGGCTATTTGTCCCCGCACCAAGCCAGACTTTTTTGTTGAATTCTGTTTTGTGAGGAAATTGGCACTCATCATGCATCACATCTTGCCAAGGCAAGGAGGGGGTGCTCAACTCTCTACTAAATCTATCCTTGTCGATCTGAAATGATTCCATATGATCACATAAACAGGTAATTCTGGATGGATATAAGTTTTAAGGAAAACATGGTTATTCAGCGATTGCGCTATGAACATTGTCGATAAATGGACGCGACACCTTGGAATCTCCCATATTTACAAATCGTTACAGGGAAATACAAATTACAAAGCAATTATCTGCCCACTACAAATGAGATAACGTACGTATGATAATAAAATCAAAAAAATCAATTTCAATAACAAAAACATTCGGTGCCGAGCAGCTTGGAGTCATATTTACATCACAAGTCGACGAAAAAGGCGAGGTTTTTCAATTCTTTTTGTTTCGACTGAGGCATCTTGTCGGCCCAGGCTTTCGTCTGTGACACAGGTCCAACTCTTCCGATGATAAATTTCTCGCATTTCGTCAGACACTCACGTACGACGCGAAGACATTCCTCATCGAATGCGCTCAATAAATTATGTTCACACTCTTCCATGACCGTGACACGCTGAACGATGTACTGCAGGCCTTGATGAATATTGCAGCAGTTCGCCACGGTCAACATGTCGAGAATTTCGAGCAAAAAAGTTTCGAAAAATGAGCTCGAGAAATTCGCTTCCTTCAAGAAAGCGGAGACGTTCGGTAGCTCGCAAACGGCTTGAAAGTTCATCACGATGAAGTGAACACATTCATCACGTAATTCGTCGACAAAGTTCAAGACCACCTTTGTCCACGTGGTGTTCACGTTCTTCAACGACGCTTTCAATTTATTCAACTTGATCCACTCAAACGTGACAGTCGAAGGCTTCGCAAGATTCTTGGCGATTTCTTCTCGCAGGCTGTCCCTTAATTGTTCGGATAACTGGGTCACATGCCTACTAGCGAGCGTCTTTGGATAGTGTTTGCTCAACCATCGAATGCACTCCTGTCGAAATCTCTCCGTTTGAATGAAATTGTCACAACTCTTCAAGCATTCGAAAACCTGCGGTATGCAGTACTGGCAAGGTTTATGGAAAAAATGGCATTTCGTGATTCTCATCTCGGCCATTATCACTTCCATCATGTCATGCATGCCGTACATGTCGGCAAACCGCATCACATCACACGCGGGGAACTTCAGGATCCCATGATCTGCTGCATACATGAAATTCAAAACGGCAAGAAACATGTCGTAGCTCACGTCTGGTAACTCAAACTGATGCTGCGTGGCCTCTCTCCAAGATGATTGGAACATGGCGTTAAAATAGTCGGAACGAGAAGCCAATATTGCCTTGTGTGCCATGACGCTTTTGCCCGCGACCTTAATCTCGACATCAGCCGTGCCACTTTTGATGAGGAGGGAAGATAGATCTTTTGATAGTGAATCACTTGTTTTTGACGTTTCCAAGTGAAAAAGGTCTCTTACCAAAGCGCAGTCTATCTTATCGCTCGAGTACAGCGTGTTCATCCAACTCTCGAACTTAGAGAGCAGCGCAGATTTCTTGATTGACAATTTTATTTTCAGTGCATCCGGTTGTTCTCGAATAAACTCATAAAATTCCGGACACCTAGCCTCCACTATAAACGAATGGAGAGGCAACTGAAAAGACCCTGACTCGAACATGACGTCAGAAAATTGAGGATCTTTGAAAAGTTTCTTCACGTCGTTCACGAGCTTTTTTAGCGTTTTCAACAAAACATCCTTTCTCAACTGTTCCTCTTTTTTCTGAAATGCCGCAGTTGGTTTGAAAGTTCGCCCACTCATAATGCCATCACGTGGTTCACTGAAACAATAAATTTAACTATTTAAGTGATTTCCTTTTTGCAAAACATGCAGTACATTGTTGTGCTGGGAACACTTTCTCTGATTTAAAAAAGTTACTCGACTCATGTAAATTTGGATGCAAGTAAATTCAGTGTAGTTCAGATTTTGCACATTGGCATTTAATGATTTCATTTTGTGTTCAAGGTTTGAATTTGTGAATGCTCAATGATAATGAGTTGTATAAAGTAATGAAGGCATTGTTATTTTACACATAATGGCTCCAGATTGATCTGAAGACATCAAACCTGAGCACATGAGGAAACTCTGGAAATATTGAATTATGGAAGAGCATGGTTCTCAAAAACGGTAGCACCATCAAGGGAGCAACTGCTTTCCCCCCTCTAACCAATAAGTCTCATACTATGGTCTTTATGATTAAAATTTGAAAATTTCAGTGATATTAAACTGTGCAAAATTTGTAAGCGACATTTTGGGAGTGTTTTGCATCTCAAAATATAATCATACTAGCAACACAGCTCAAGTGAAGGATTTGTAGGTGGGCCATGGGGCAGTGCCATAGGGAGCCGGAAGTTTGGTATTACTAGTTAAGTATGAAACTTTAGAAATCTATTGTTTTCAAACCAAAATATTTACATGCAACTACCAAACTTAATGGCTGGCTATGTCACTGATAGGGAGAGTTCAAATTCTTGGTTGTAATTTGAACAAGTGGCGACTACAATTTTTTACCGGGCCCCAAAAACAGTGCCATAGGATAGTTAGCAAAAATGCATAAACTGTGTGAACTATAAAGCTTGCTAAAGGTTGTCATCTTCAAGATGGGATTGGTAGGATTGGCTTTACATATTTCCTATTGTCAGTTATCACAAATGATCCTTAGGTGGTGATAAAGGTACATAAAGTCGATACTTAGATAAAATGGGATAAATAGTTTCTATTGTGCAAAAATCACCAAATTTTCAGAGAACTAAATCACTGGGAATAAATCAGAATCTTACCTAAGATGACATATGTTTTTAAAATGAACTTGACAGAATGAGATCAAAGTTGAAAACTTTAGTGGTGACTAGTAAGAGTTATAGCAAGACAAAACGACATGAATTCATCCATCGACGACGATGTAAAAGTATTTGACACTGATTAGAAACACTGATTAGGAACAGAATTTTATAAGATTGACAATTTTCAAATGACAACGTCCATGTTGAAATTGAAATTGAAGAAACGAGTACGGAAGTTCCATTTCAGATGGTGTTTCAGATGTACGAAGATGATGCGATTACTTACACTCTTGAAGAAAATAAAAAAATATAATTAACAATAATCTAGTGCCCGAGATAGTATCTAGTCGTGTATTCTTCATTTCCCATTCTTTGATTTAATGCTTTTCTCTTATTCAAAAAAATAATCCGAACTGCATGTATCTTGTTTGAAATTTGAAATTTTCCTATTGAGGAAATCAATCATCTGAAAATAAAGCGGAAGCATTTCAAACAAAACAATTATCAATTATTATTTTCATCTATAGCAACAACCATGATTACAACATGAGCAAAACAACAACAATAAAATCGGCAAATAAAATTCACAAATAACTACCTTACAATTTGATATATATGGCACAACTTCCTTGAAGGAAAGACTGTGAACAAATCGTTGTATCGAGTAAATTTCGATAAATGATCAATGCCTGCCTCAAGAAGTATCGCATGACAAGTAACAAGTAAATGCGCCGCTGTGTATCCGATAAATAGAGGAAAAGTGTAAACAGCAACGGAATCGAAAATTTTGCAGGTGCCGCAAACGAGCTTTACAGTGATGGCCACGGATGTCGTTGCAACGTGGGACATCGCGCTATCGGATGGCATTCATACCGTCTTGTTTGAACACGGCACAACGACGGGCAAGCGAGTCATCAAAGTGGACGGAGTCGAGATCCTACGGAAAAATTGGATGTTTCGGCTTGTTGGAAAGGAGGAATTTACTATAGGGAAGAAAATAAAGGCGAATGTGACCATTGAGGCGGTGAGTGGTTTTTCGTACCAGTACACCCTCCACGTGAACGGCAATCCTTTGAAGAAATTCACAGAGAATAGGAAGAAGACAGCTAAAGTCTGGAGGTTCGTGTACGGAGGTGTTGAAACTAGGATCGTCTTAGGTAAGAAACTGTGTTATTGCTTGGCTTCAGATGAACTCTTAAATTAATTAAATCAGAAGCAAGAATAGTTAAGCCTTTCATAATGCACTAACTTGCCTCGAGATGGTAATTCCACACATAGTTGAGATGATGTCACAATGGCATTGGCATCACCTTGTTCTCCTGAAAATTCCCATTTCTATGTGTCTTGAAAGTTAAGACATGTCTCTTGTGTGCATGCTTTTGTTTTGACAGCCGCAAAATCATTAAATGTGTATAAATCTTGCAGAAAAAGATACAATGGATGTCTGGTGTAATGGAGAAGTTCTGGAAACAGCGGTAAATTTTGTGTGAAGTTATGCACATGCTTTGCTTTTCATCTCTGACTGATGCTATCACAAAAATATTGCATTTGTCAGATATTAATAGACCTATGCAATGGCCATTTGTCATACATATATGCAATTCATTTTAGTGGCAGCACCGTCTCTTTAAAGTTGAGGGAATGTAGGGAGAATAATATTCAAAAGTGCCTGTTTTTGCTCAATAAAGTTTTGTTGGAGTCAATTGTTTTATTGTTTTTAGGAAAACTGACATACATGCATGTATGAATACTAATTCCCTCACTTATTGAGCTGGCAAAATTACCGATTCATTGCCAAAATTTCGTAGTGATTTAATGTTATTTAATTGTTTGGCTGGGGAAAGAAAGAAATCATTCATCAAAATTTGAACTGATGCACTTTACTTGGACTAAATAAAACGATTGCTGAACAGAATTTGATCAAAATACTGCATGAAGTAACCTTAGCATTTCATTAACACGCACAAAGATGGACAGTGTGTGAAAAGTAACCATTATTTAACTGCTCTATGTTCAACTGATGATGACATGTAGCACTTGTCGAAACTTTGAGATTAAGTAATGTGTATGGAGTGTTGAAAGTTCTGTGTTTTACACATAGCATGTTTCAAATGTTTTCATATGCCTTGTAGTAACAATTTGCTTTGGAAAGCCATAGTTGTGAATAGTTAATGAAATATGGAATTAAAGTAAATGGTTTGAACCCGGGCGTATCGTTGCATGTTTATAAACGTAGATCGTCCATTTTTAAAATTTTTTTTTTTGACTCTGAAGATGACTTCCGCTAAGGTTGTCGAAACGTCAGTTCAACAACAACAAAAACAGTCCTTCTCAGGACTATACCAACCTGGACGATCTACATTTACAAACATGAAATATGGAATTGTTCGTCTTGTCATAAAATCGTTTTTTGGACCATAGACGTGAAATCATTTGACAAATTGAGACATTTGACGTGTTTTAAAATGACAGAATTTTCCCGTTGAATAAGATGTAATCAATATGTGAAATCTTGCAGCAAGGTTTCTTATGAAATAGCAACAACAAAACGCGTGCGCTGATTGGTCTATAGCTGTGTTTCCATAAGCTGTGCAAATGCAAACCGATCTGAGCTCAATCAATGATAACAATCAAAGAGAATTTGCAAATAAATCATGAATAAGTGTTCGACGTAAAAATTAAAAAATTGTTTTGTGTTAATCTGTTTAGCATTGATGTTATTTTATAAAAGAAATAAAAGATGTTTTCGTGTTTGCGCTGACTGGCTTGTGCAAAACTCGGGGACGTTCATGAGAACTCACGAGCAGGTGCAACATGCGTGTTATTCGAATTTCAACTGTCCTTTTCAGCCTGTAATGATATCAACTTGTATCTCTTCTCAACATCCCATCCATCCATTATCCGAGAAAATATCACTTCATTTTTCGGTTTGAAGTTCCATAGAAGTACCACAAACGATGTGTCTTTCTCATTTAGGGCGAATTTGTTGACGGTGGTACTGAGACACATTTCAAGCTTCACAACCAATACAACGCTCATATAGAAGCGATAAGCTCTGGTCGAAGGAGAGGTGGTATTATTCACACGCTTTTTGTCGAGGACCAAGAAATCCCCGAAGCAACGAACGATATTTAGAGTTAGTAGCTTGCTAAACTAAGAGATGCATGTCATGCAGTCAGAAGCACAGAGTAGATAATTAAGTCAGAACCCCTGACCACAGAACTGTGGTCAGGATTTTTATGTCTCTTGAGAAAATTGTAGTTTGTTTTTAATCCTATAATTTATGCACTTGAAGACTCTGTAAATAATATGTCAACAAAGAATTAAAGATTGTAGCATTGTTCTTAGATCAACTGAATCAGCGTATCTTAGTGAAATTAAAGTCTGATAACCATGGTCAAACGAAACTCTCATATGCATCCGGGTTTTTAAGTTGCAGAACATTATCTATGTGTAAGAAATAAAACTCAACAGTGACCCCCCTGAAATATTTTCAGTTCATTCCAGCCATTATACATGAATTTCTTTGCTATCGAACCAATACTGCAGCTATTTTCTTTGGATTTTTCTCGTTTGAATTCCTCCCTCCCCCCCTTCCCAACTTATAGTCTCTGATAACGATCCCTAAGGCTGACACCTCACTTCAATGCGATTGCTAAGAACATGGCCAGCTGTTGTATTACGTTTTGATGTGCTTGCTCTTTCTCAGCTCTATATTTGTTTTCTCGTAGTTAAAAAGCACTATGTCGCATTGCCTAAGGTTTTGGAATTGTCAAAGTTATATAGTGGCTTGGAATTGGCATAGTAACCACAGTTTAACTTTCAAAATGACTCCCCACCCACATAAACTCACACCACTCCCTCCTAGAAAGAAGCGCGAACTTTACGCGGGAAAATTTCTGTGGTCGTTAAAATAAAATGGCTGCAACAAACCTTGCATCTAAGCGGTAGCAAAAACCGACTTACACAATTGCTTTCTTGCAACGTTAAATATTGCTTCTCGAGGCTGAAATTTTTTGTTGTATCAAAGGTCTAAATATCCTATTGCATTCTGTGTTACTGTTTCGGAATCTGGGTGTCATAAAATGCCGATATTTTCAACGGTATGTTTATTATGTAATATGTTCATATGACGATTAAAGTCGCCTCGTGTACATCTTGCGTACGCTTTTACTAACGGTCGAAAATGAAATATGTCGAATAAGTTTGGTGCTGACCTACTCATAAGTTTATTTTGCGTTTGAAAACTGGAGTTAAGTGTGAGAAAGAATTAAAACGAGGAGCAAAACCATAAAACTATTCAAAAACCATGAACCCCTTACCTATGGCCAAGGGCTTTTCAACAACCCTGAAAGGCAGACGCTTTTAGTGTTGATTCGTTTTCGTGTTTCGCAATTTTTTGCTTCGCATGTTGATATTGTGTCGTGTGAAGTAACATTATCCTCTGAAGCTGTGTAAAAGATTGGAGATCCTCAGAAAATTGAACCACACGTACAGACAAACTGACCTTTTGTTCACAAGCCATCACCTTACCCAAAGCAAAAACATAGGTCAAACAATTTCTTTTTACGTTCTTAATTGACAGATGTACAATCTCATTGTGGGTGGCAGCAAGTCTCCGTCCAGATGTCTGGATGAAAATGACAGCTGTAGCCTCAGCAGGAAAGCAAAGGCCTCGCCTGGTAACTCGTCCGTACTCAAAAAACTGAACAGGAAGCAAGGAGATGCACTTCTTATGGTACACCATGTTGCTGTCTTATGCATGAACTCGGTTTTCAATCTTGGTTGCTTGCACAGCATTGTCTTTAATTGTTGTCACTAGAAATTCCATAAAACATTTATCATGTTTTGATATGTGATAAAATTCCACTGTAGATATAAGCTTTTGTGGTTGGCATTTTTCTTTCTCTGCAGAGACTTGATACTGTGTAGAACACCGTTAGGATAGGTTGGGATTAAGTAAATTGCATAGTCATTTGTGTGACTGTCACGAGGCTTTGCTTAATGCAGACCTGTTTATTCGTCAACAACGTTCATTTATGTTGACCTGTGGTGGATCTATTGATGAATTTATGTACTACTGAATAATTGAATATGAATTGAAATAAATTACTGCATCACATTCTTGCATATATTTTCATTAAACCATAGAGGCAGGTTCATTGGTGTGATTTTTTTCTTTAGAAATTCATAGCCATTTGTTTTTGTTCTAAATGTAATTTGAATTTAAAATTCAGCAACTGTACATTTTTTTACTAATGCTGGAATGGCTACTGGACCTGTGGGACTTCTATGCAAAATGTCTGATTTTGTGATGGAGAACCCTAGCAATTTCTCTTGTTTCTATCAATTTTACCCCAGTCTCCCAGGAACTATGCAGCTGTAATATTTCCTCAAGGGTTGAGAGGGATAGGGGTGTGGATATCCAGGAAACATTAGCATCCCCTCAAGGAATTTTTCCCTCCTTCAAGGCCAGTTGACATGCAGTCAGGGTTAATTTAATGTTAGTACGTTAAGTTTGGTGTTAGTGGGGTTGTAGCTAGGGTTGAGAGAACTTGGCTAGTTCTCGGAGAATGGGACAAATTTCCTGATGCGTTCTAATTTTCATGTCTGGAATTAATTTACCAAATTCTTATTTAAGGAGACCAACAAGTTTGCCTACGAGAAAGGGACGCCATCTTCTTCCAGCAAGAAACGTGAACGAAGTACATCTGAAGAACGCGACATCAATGACGAAAATGTAATTTTTCCTCCTATTTGACTTTTATTTTCTATACACCTTTTGCCTGCATACTTAGCTCATGCGCAATGCCATACACTAAACAGATTAACTACATTCAAGAAATGAAAGACATTTACTTTGTTTGCACAAGCCCAAGAGTGTCAGCTAAGCCGGTGCGAACACGAAAGACATCGTTTATTTCTTTTATAAAATAACAATAATGCGAAACAGGCAAATTTAAAACTCTCTTAATAAACTCTCTTTGATTGATTGATTGTCCTCATTCGTTAATTTCAGTTTGGTTTGCACAGTCTGATGCAAACACAGCTACGTAAGACATGTGTAATCAGCACATTTGCAAAATTGTTGTTATTTTGTAAATGAAAATAGTGACCGAAATATTTAATTACCAGAACTAAAATTCTCGGCTGGCTACGCCACGACTTCTTCCTTCCTTCTAAACATTTCTGGGTCACGGATACTCCGTAGAGGAATATCTGCGAGTCACTGCTATAATGGTTTGAGGAATCAACCTTCTGGGCGCGCTCGAAGTATATAGTAAATTATAATATATAACAGAACTGAATTGTTTGACCTCCTCGTACACTGAATCTGGTTTCTGAATGGTTTTGTCTTTTGAAATGATTTTTCTTTAGCAATTTTTCTCAAAATACGCTGCTTTAAATTTTCAGTTAACGAATTTGTTAGATTAACATCTTTCTTGTCTGCCATGTAAAATTTTGCGTATTGGCGAGTCGTCTAATTGAGTAGCTACATACCTTTGATTTCTAGTTTCGACCGTCGTGTAGTGGTTGTGTGCAAATCGTACCTTATAATATCTAGAGAGTGAAAAGAGATATGCATAAACTTTTTCTGAGTATACTATGTTTTTTTAAAGTTCTGTTAAATGAAAATATAATTTAAACTGTAAAATTTTCGAGTCATATGTCTTTTTCTGTACGTTCATTACTGTGTTAAAGAAACCGTTTTTTACAAGGTATTATCATTAAAAAGTCTTTATTTCTACTTTAGTGGCAATGATATTTACATTAAACGTTGTTATATTTATAGCTAATGATCTTTGATTGTTTAGTCTGGAACGACGAAAAGAAGGCGTGTAAATGTATCAAAGGGAGACGACTTCGAGGAGGCTGCGGTACGTATGTTTGTCTTGCATTATCATGTTGGTTTTAGTATGTAAATATAGTCGCTTGTTGCATCCCATTTCAAGAGCGGATCCGGGATTTCATTGAGGGAGGGGTGATTTGGGTGAATCATTTGGAAGTTTCGTAATGGAATAACGTTTTCATTAACTAGCTATAAAATCATCCGAGCTCGAGTAGGGTTGCGCATCCAATGCGCCCTACCTCTGGATCCTGGATCTACCTACCTATCCACTTATGTATCTATCTACCTACCAATATCAAAATATTACAATTCTCGTTGCAAAACAAAGCATTTTAAGCGCTCGTTTTCCCCCTAAAATAATTTTGAATAAATAGCCGTATACAACGTATTACGTTTTTCCGTAATTCATTTTAGAGTTTCCTTTCCACTATTGTCGACAAAGTGTCGAACACAACGGCATTCATTTCAAAAACTGAAACCAATACGACTGCTTCAGATAACTCGGGTGGCGAATCGATCGTTTCTGCGAATGAAGTCAAGGAGGACCACGTTCCTGTAGATGATCCATCACTTTCAAAAACCGAAAGAACAAACAATGGCATTTTCGCAAATGCCGATGACATGGGATTGAGCATGCGTGAAACACGCGATACTTATAGCGATGCTCGTGGTGATCATGAGCCGTTACGATCTTCTGAAGATTCGTTTGTTTCCGCTTCGTCTGCGGAAATAGCGACGACATCAAAGATGTCGATGACAACTCGACTTCGGCCACTCGTCACAGCGAAAATTCTTCCATGCACGAAAATGAAACGATGGCGGCCGACGACTTTTCATCAATAAACAGTAAGATCTCGGATCACAGTCCTGGCGATATCCTCATACCTAAAGTCGATTGCCTTTCTAATCTTACTGATGAGGGAAAATCTCAGAAATCGCCTCAAGGGAATCAGCTCGTTCCCAACCTCCTTTTGGAGGATGATAAACAACTAGGGATGTCGGAAGAGGAGAATTGTGACGAACAAGTGGTACATGAAAGGCAACAGAAAAATGAATCGGAAGAAGACAAGGAGAGAAAACTTGTTGCTCAACAGATATCTGATGGCGTTCTAACAGATTCCATGTTAAGAGAGGAGAACAAACTGAAGAAGGAAAATTTGAAAGAAGAAAGGGAAATCGTCGATAAGGTATACTTTAAGTCGCTTCATGCAAACCAGCTCTATACAGGAGGTGTTGAGCCTCCCCAATAATTTTGAGAAAGTTAAAATCGTGCAACGAATACCGCAGATCATGCCTATAAAACGGAACTGTCAGATCAATTAATGACTATATGACAGTTATCACTTCTATACTGTTTATGATCTTAAACTTTCACGACTTTTATTTTGACAAACCTCGTGCCTTGAGGACGAGCCCCACCCCACCCCACCCCATAATATTTCAAAAAGTCCGTTTGGGGGTCCGCCATTGTTTAAATCTGTGTCCGATTTCTGTATCCATGTCACTCCTTCAGCGGCGTAGGAAAGAAGTAAAATTTGAGGAGGAACAATCCAGCATCATAGGTGGTAGAGGGCAAAAATTATACATAGTAAATATAGTAAAGTCACAACTTTTACAAACGTAGTATGTGTATATGTGGCAAACTGTGTCAATGGGACTTCACAACATAACACGGCAAGTATTTGACAATGCCAAATAACTTGTATTATATTTGTGACAAATTTTTGGAGAGGTCACCCCCTACTTTTGTTATTGAGGGGCGTGCCCTGCGTTACATACTAGATCTACACCCGCTCTCTCGTGTTGTATGCGTGTCCGTTACCAGTGACAAAGCCACCCCGATCTTTTACTCCTACGGTGCAAATTTTTCAACAAAATTATTATTCATCTCGTTAGAAGATTCATTCCTTTCTTTGTTTTTCCAACGATTAAACTGGAAAATATTGGTATTATGCGAGTAAAAAAACGGAATGAGCTCCCTACTCCCTATAACATGCTGTATCCGTTGCTGTAACTCTGCCGGCACTATTTACTGCGTCCATTGTTGTAAGATCCGCGAGTGCTGTCCTTTTTGAACCGTGTTCATCCCCGCTCTTATGCCTTGTTCCTCTATATCCCTTGAGGAACCCTAACCTTAACCCTAACCCTATAACATGCTGTATCTGTTGCTGTAAGTCTGCCGGCACTATTTACTGCGTCCATTGTTGTAAGATCCGTGAGTGCTGTCCTTTTTGTACCGTGTTCATCCCCGCTCTTATGACTTGTTCCTCTATATCCCTTGAGCCGATCCCGTCTGTCTCCATAAGATACAGCTTGACATCACGCATTTATCGTAATGATTTATCACAACAGGCAATGACCGAGTATGATTCAACCGTGGAAGAGCAGCGATACGCCAGACTACAGCATTTGTTGAAGAAGTCCGATGTGTACTCCGCATTCCTTCTTCAACGCATCGAAGAACAAAAACAAGAGAACAAAAAGAAACGACTTCGTGAAGCGAAGAAAGCTGAGAAGACACAGAAAGAGGTTTCATCACCACAAGCTGTAAGTTCTCCTTTTCTATGACAAACGCGGGATGTTTTTAAAGTGCCAAGTCAACAGGCAACAACAACATTAACAAACGCTTGCAACACGCGTAGTGCACTCTGATCTGAACTTTGTCCGTATAATTCGCCGTTTTATTTGTTTTGCTGTTGCGCATAGAAACGCTTAAAGAAGTAATGGAGAAAACAGGAGCTCGCATTTCTCAAAAAACTGGGGAATGGGGAACTGCGTTCTGGGACCGATTGTTGTAGTACCCATATTTCACAGAAAAGCTCAAAATTTTAGCCGAACCTACTTTCTACGCCTCTATCAGTTTGCGGACCGAATATTTATACATAGTTCACAAAAACTGGGGTGTTACACCCCCATGAAAGAAAACTACACGATCACGTGAAGTGCTTGGAACGCCCAATCAACGAAAAATATATCCCCCCCTAATCTATGTGTCGAGTGACGATCGACTTCGTTTTATCTTTCGTATCCGGAGTCAGTTCAAACAATCATTACCACTCTGAAAACTAAAAAAGGCCATTTTGAAATAAATGGCTTGAAACATGTGAAATTCGTTTCATGATCGTAGATTTTGATGACTACCAATGAAATCGAAAATGTTAGCCAACATTTCCAAATCCCCAGCAGTTCTTTCCAGGACTTCATTGAGGTGGACGATCTACAACTACGAACATGTAAAGGCATTTTAGACTCCACAAAACATCAATGACCATAATGGAGCAATAATTTCATCATGTTTTTCCCATTTAGAACCATGTTCTTTTTTCGTTTGTTATGAAAGCGTATTTCGGAAAGCGCATCAATCTCGTGTTCTAGTGTTTGAACAGAACAAGAGGCGCTCGCATAGCATCTCGAATACAGGAGTCACTTATGAAGCGAATTTCGACATTCAATAATTTTTTCAATGTTACAATATTTATAACACCGTGATATTTTTTAAAAGCCGGAACTGTAAAATACTTAAAAAACTCTTCGCAATTGCAAGATCAAATTTGATGTTTTGCTGTTCTTACAGATAATTCAATACTTCATTGTAAATATTGAAAAGGCTATTACAAATTTTATACTAGTTCAATGACAATTACATGAACAATTAAAAAGACACCACAATAGGTGTTTATAAAGTGAATGGCGTAAAGTTGATATTCGTTTATCATCTACATGTTTGCCACGGGCGTGGATCCAACGTTACACTAGGGGACCATATTAGTATATTTCCCTTTGCCCAGCTAATTTCTTTTGAAAACGATATCGTTGCTAGAGGTACGCCTCTTTGTTTGAAGGATTCGAAAGCTGTTGGGACGTATATGCTCCAATTTTCGTGTAAAGAAAGTTGTTTTTTTCTTGTGAACATTTCAATCGTTCATAGGTTCCTGAATCAAAACGCTCCCGTCGAGATAAGAAGGCGTCCAGTGAATATAACTTCAGCGATTACTTGGATACTGAGGTAATTTGCGTGATCATCTTTCGTGTGATCATCGTATCAAATACTGATTGGTTTTCCAGAATCACGTGGTGTCAAACAAACATGGCCGCAACGTGTATTCATATATTGATAACCCATTGATATTGTGCCAACTATTTTTAGACAAATTTTTTTTTAAGTTTTTGTTCATTTATGAAAACGATTCCAGATGCAATAACTTTTAATGGGTTTTTCTTTAAAAAGTGTCGAACGAAACTTGTACAACTAATTTTGAATTGAATTAGTTCCATTCGTGCCGTAGAACGCCGTATCCTAGACTTGGTAAAATTTAAAGTTTGACTGCAACATACTGCACTATATCGGATCATGTAACAGCTTTGCCAAACTTACGAAGCTAGCAAATTTTGTCTCTTTTCATAACGCTTGTGAAGGTTATCGGCCATCCGATATATAGTGAAGGCTATCGGCCATCCGAAATATGGCGCTTTCTGATGTCCAAATGCAAATAACGACCTTTTTACCAAAAGGATTTGAGGCACTTTTTATTAGTTCAATTCTTTCTTTACGCAGGCGCTAAAAAAGAGCAGTGCAGAGTCCATGTGTGCACCAAATAAAGAAGTAAACAAGAACCTCGCCGTTAGCCACGACTCAACAGAATGCGCTAGTTCTGAGGTATGCCACCACAACTATAACGAGACTGTGGAGTCGATGGCGCTTGAGTGGGCTTGGTTGGGCGTTGTGGTAGACGGGTAGTACTGACCGGTTCTTCAATGTGTCTGTTTTGGGGCGTCTGGATGTCGCGGATGTGATTTTATTTGGGGAAAAATCCTATTGTTGCTTCACCAGTCGATTTATAAAGGGCATATTTAGAAAAGAATTTCTTTGACGTCAGGTACCGAAGAAAGGTTTTGTAAAACCGAAGTTGTTGACCGGTGGAGAATTGCGAGATTATCAAGAAGAAGGTGTCGAATGGCTGAAGGTAGGCGTGATTTTTATTGCGCGAACTCATTGATAATTTTACATTGATACCGCACGCATTCTAAAAAATTTCATGCGCGCGTTACTTTGGTTTTAACAACTTCGGATAACCTCAATCGGCCGCTGGCCCTCCAAATGGTATGATAAATTTCGATGAACATTTTTGCAGTTTCTAATCAAGATGTACCAACACAATAAATGTTATCACCATCAAAATGATTATATTTATGACTTTTATCTGTCTTCATGTAACATCAAACGTATGTACGTTGTCATATACAGTGAATCATGTTTTTTTGAATGGGCTATACTTCCAGTTTCAGCGCCAGCTTAAGTCGATCAAACATAAATAATTGCTTTACAACGAGGGGGAAATTTTTACCAGTTAATACGACCACTAGCCTTCCTTCAAGGCAGTGGCGTAAAATAAGACCATCTACAGTAGCCTTCTTTCATGACCACCGCTCGAGAACCTCTTCGTCGTGCAAAATTTATGTGCATTCTATTCGCGTAGGTGTTGTTCGAGAACGGCGTGAATGGCATTCTCGCTGATGAAATGGGCCTGGGCAAGACAGTTCAATGCATTGCTTTGTTGGCCCATCTCGTGGAATGGGGTGTTCGAGGTCCGTTTCTCGTCGTTGCTCCGTTATCAACGTTACCGAACTGGCTTTCGGAGTTCAAACGCTTCACTCCCAATGTAAGCGAACAACAGCAAAAGACATTTTCTCGAAGTTTTTGTTTGTGGGTTTTTATTAAAAGAAGAGCAACTTAACGCTTTACCTGTCAGTCTTTATACGTACACGAAAACATGTGACTTGGACGAGATTTGAATTCGCACCGTCGGGTACTAGTCCGCCGCTCTACCTGTTGAGCTAACAAGCCCACAGTACGAGATACGTTATTATGATGTTTCTCTGATGATGTCTTTGGAATAAAGTCGAAACATGGTGCCGTCCAGAAACTGCTATCGTGGCGAAAATATCTCGTCCTTACGCAGTTTAAAAGAGATTTTACTCGTCTCCGATCCCTGTGTGCTTGCTAGCTCAAAACTGCATAACTCAGAAGTGACTACGTAAGCTTCCCAAGTTGTTTGGGGAGGACAGAGCAGGTACCCCTGAACAGAATTTTCTAATTTCTCAATTTAATAGAGAACGACTATCGGTTCTTGAAACGATGTTTTCTATATAATTCACGAAAACTAATCACCCCCCCCTACCCTTACCAATGCTTGTCCCTGACTGAAATACATGGAATATTTGTAGTTGTTTGCCTCCATCTATCATGGTACACCAGACGAAAGGGCGATCATGAGAAAGAAGTTCAATAAAATATACGGAGTGAAACCATACAGAGCGATGCCAGTGATCATCACATCTTACAGCATCGTTATCAACGACAGCAGACATCTCATGAAATACAACTGGAAATACCTGATTGTCGATGAGGGACACCGAATCAAAGATTTTAACTGTAAATTGATACGGTGAGTGTCCATGTGAGCATTAACTATGCCGGCTTTTCAGTAGCAAAATACGCGCGCTAACAGTGGCGGTGCTATGGGTGGACTGGGGTTGGACGGACGTGTTCACCCTTTTATTTTGAACGATTGTTTGATTTGTTTAAATCGACGAAGAAAACATTTAAAGAAGGGGAGGGATGGTGAAAAAATCCATAATTATTTCCAGATATGACTTTAAGACGGCACATTTCGTACTGATTGCTCGCCGAGGGAGAGTTTTTTCGATTCAGTTGATGATATGTTGCTGTGCTGATTGCTATGACGAATATGTTGTAAGGTGCTAACAGTGATCTTACCTGAGGTGTTAAAGAACACTTTTGCGAAAGTTCCATTCAATGTTAAATGTTCATTCTACTTTTTCATCAAAGGAACTTTTTCGCTCCCAATAACGTCATCCATGAAAAAAAACCCCAGATATAATATGTATACTTCAGTTTGTATTTGCGTGCCACGCTCAACTCACTCAATGTCTATTTTTTTTCTAAAGCGAACTTAAGTTATTGCCGTCGGCCAATCGACTATTGCTGACTGGCACACCACTTCAAAACAATCTGGCTGAACTGTGGTCGCTCTTGAATTTCTTACTGCCAGATATATTTAACGATCTCGAAAGGTAAACGGAGACATGCTAGTTATCCATCTTTTATTGGACACAAATATGTGTACGTTCATGCAAGAGTGCATCACTCAACACAAATTCTTCGTGAAGTGATAATTTCTCCGAGAATTATTTTGATTAATTTGACATTGAAATGGTCGATGCTATTGGTATTGAAATTGTATGAAATACGAAGACCTTTGTTCCTGTGATTCTTTACAGTTAATGAAATTGTATAAGTTTTAAGAGTTTCCAAATTAGCTTCCAAGATTTTTGATAGTGTCTTAACTGCACTTAAAGAGTGCTAAGGCATCGTTAAAAATGCTAAAGTACTTGTTCTCCTTTACTTCTACAGTTTTCAAGCGTGGTTTGACTTCAGCGCCATTTCTCAGAGCGATGGCGATCGGAAGATCATTGCCCAGGAGCGGGAACATCACGTTTTGGAACGGCTGCATTCGGTAAGATACGGTCATTTTGTTGCCTGAGCCACGCAATTCGAGCGCGATTGAGTAAATTCCGAGTTTCAATCCTCGACTCCGGTGGTAGCTATATAGGTATCTACAATCGAACTTTACTGCTAGCTCAATGCTTTACCTATCACTACTTTCTTACTATCTTTAACGTATTTTCATCATGTCAGCCGAGTAAGGTCTTGTTTGGTCTATTTTCCTCGCTACAAGAACCAGCTTACAACTACTTTGTATTATTATTCACTATGTGAGCATTCTCGGCTGTGATTGGTCAACTACCTGCAGATAATTCTCGATATCTGCAACTATGACGTCATACCTACAGATAATGGTTTCTACAAATATGGATCCCATTAAAAGCCGGTTTTGAAAAAAATCAAAACAACGAAGTTCACCACAGTTTCTAAGAACGATACGCAAAAGCTTTTGAGCAAAACAGAAGTCGAAAACACTAAAAAGCGACGAAGCTTGTTTGAACTTATTTACAGCTTATTTAAACGAGAAGAACTTGAAGAAACCGTTTTGTTTCAGCGACAAATTAGCGAAGGTTTGAAAATGTTTTACATTTATCAGTTTTGATTATATTTCAGTTAGTTGAGGTGAATAGTAAAGCAATTATTGAATTTGTTTTTCGCGTGATATCAAGAATTATTCAGACCTCGGCAGATAACATTGACCTCGGTCTGAATAATTGTTGATATCAAGCTCAACCTCATCCAATAATTGCTTATGATTATAACGTAGAGACTATCACGTTACTATCTTTTCTACCCAAGTCATTTTTGCAATTTTGAGAAAAGGAAGAAAGAATTAACATAATTTTAAAAAGCAGTCAATGATTTTTATCAAGCATCATACTTTGAACATTTATTGAGTCGTTTTAAATTGGTAAATTGTCTTTCACCCGTAAATACAGAACACGCTTGTCGCGGCAAAATTGTAGTTTTAGGCAAAGATACATAAAGTTGAAAAAATACGACTTAGGTAATTACGTGTTGATTTGCTTTTTGTATGCGAACAGATTCTGACTCCATTTCTTCTGCGTCGTCTGAAGACCGATGTAAGCCTCGACATTCCCCTCAAAAAAGAAGTGTTTGTTTACGCTCCTCTGACACAACTACAAAAGGTCTGGTATCGACGGGCTCTCGACAGAATTGAACTTTTGAATTATGTGGCGGTAAGTACCAATCCCCTTCTATAAGCCGAGGGCAAAATGCATTGTTTGACTTATGCTTGTTTTTGAAGTGCAACAAAATATCGTTCAAGTTTGTTTTTATGACGTAACTTGTGCTTTTCTTTATAAATGTAATAGTCCAACACGATATAGTTTTTAAAAGTCTTCACGACTATAAATTAGAAATACAGAAAGGGGTTGTATCCCAATTATGTAAAATTTTTTTTGTTATGGAAAATGTGTTCAAATGCATAAATTATAGTTTTTTGATGATTAAATTATAGTCTTTTTCAATTTATTAGACTATTAAATTATAGTCTTTTTCAATTTATAAAAGTCTTCACGACTATAAATTAGAAATACAGATAAAAGGTTTTTAAAAAGGTTTTTGAAAGTTTTTTAAAAATTTACACGAGACTTTAAATGAATTATATTCATAATGAAAATCCGCTTTCCGCCTGGCAAATTCCACCTGGTGAGCTTGAGCAACTTGTGCTATTGTAATCACCACACCCCCCAGTTTCGACAAATTACCGATCACGGATAAACAAAACTAGCGAATATCATGCTATGCCGCATTCAATCCGGTGACTTTAAGACATCTGGTGCGATAGAGAAGTCGCTATCTTAAATCGTAGGAAAAGAGGCAACATGTTTTGAAGACAAACGTAAGGGCTAAAAACAGTAGATTTGATTAGTTTTAGTTCTTTGTGTGTCGAAGGCCAAAGAAACTAAAATGCGTGTAGTTAGTGAGTTTTTTTCACAAGACCCCACTTCCCATTGCTCGAAACCAACAATTTCCTCTTCCATTGTGTAGAAATGAACATCAATTTCAACTTTCATTGTGTGAAAATCAACATCGATTTCTGCCCCCATTGTACGAAAACGAACACCAATTTCCACCCCATTGTTTCAATAACAATTTCAAACATCAAATTTCATGCGCTTATCGTGTAAAAATGAACATCGATTGTTGCACTCATTGTGTAAAAATAAACTTTCAATTTCAACCTAACTTATCTTAAAACGAATATCAATTTTCACCCGAATTACATTCATAAGAATTTCCTCGTCAGGTTTTCCTACACAATCTTCCATATTTTTAACACTTTTTTCTGGCGAATTTTATCACAACTGTTTTTTATAGGTCACATATTTTTTTTTAAATCGTGCACATGATAAAAGCGCCTTGTTTTAACTTAAAATTCTTTCACTGTCATATGTCAAGGAGTTGCTATGGAGGTGGCCGATATATAAGGAGTAAAGCAAAAGATTTTTGTTAAGAATAAGTACATACGTAAACAAACTAACATTGCTGCGATTTACCTTCAGTGAACTACTAAAGGTCAAACATATATTGAATTCCTATTTGTTTAACAAACATTTGTATTTCGTTGGCAATACGTGTTTTTCACTTATCGCATCGGTGGAAACGAAATACTCCTCAGTAAACAAGAAATTTTCACGTCCTTCACTTCCCGTCTGCTGAAGCAAAATAAGTTGACAACACGACGGCATCCTCGACCCAGTTCTCATCAACATTCAGACGAGCTTGTAGATGTCGCGTTGCGTTTGCTAAACCTGCCTAATAAGCAGTCAAAGACCGACTTTGACTGAATTAAAATGAAGTTGGCCAGGAACGTTTACGCCATTGCTTTGAGCCAGGGGCTCGATAATTCAACTTTATTTTCTGTTTTTCAAACAGCCTAAGAAAGAAACACCGCAATCCTATTCAGCTACCGGTCGAGCGCGGCGACGTTGTACTTCAATGAAAACAGATTACAGTGTCTTTGACAGGGATGATTTAGACTACGAACAATTTGTAAATGTCCAATCGGAACAAGAAAACAGGTATTCCTCCATATCGTTTTTACGCCTTTTATATGCGGGAGGGGGGAGGGGACAGATGTTTCAGCGATAACTCGTGGAAATCAATTCTAAATTGAATTGTGTGAACGGCAGGAGTTTCGAACTTGTAAAGTGGACAATTTCGAACTTATTTTCTAAGCTGTTTTCCTTACAAAATGCGTGTATAGTTACCTTATTTATCGAAAAAATAGCAACTCTTTCGATTGGGCCTACTGCTGAACACAACGCTCGTGCGCTATTTTACGCCTCAGCGTTTATCATCATCATTGATTTATTGTCATGCATAACCAAAAAGCATTGTGGGATTACCCTTCGTCTAAAATTAGAACGGCAAAGCGTGCTTGTTGAAATTTCGACGATTTTTTTTACAAACCCCGAGCACAGATTTCTCCAAAATTTCAGCTTTTTTATGTTAGAAATTTTTGTTTTAATGTATAAATTCAAAAAATACGAAAAGCTTTTTGATGACCCGCCCTACAATTCTTTAATTTAAAGTCTTGAAAAATAATATTTTCATAAATGTCGTACAAAAGGCTTGTGACGTCACAAGATGTGTGTTACTTTTATGACGAGTAACCCAGTGACGTCACAAGTTATCGGCATATTTTGCTTGTATAACGAGCTACCATACACAACAAAAGCCTCTCCTTTTCAATACGATTTTAATTTTGCGGCCGTGGAAGATATAAGTGTAAAGTCCAAACTTTTTCTTCGGTGGATATTCAACTAAACGCATTTTTTAAATTGAACGCATCTATCGATCACAAGTTAAAATTGTTTGATAGAAACAATCGAGCTGTCTGTGCGTTTCATCCTCAGGCCCGAGAGCAAAATCCCCTTTCTTGGCAGGCTTGAACAGAAGATTTGCATGAAAATATGAGGGTCGTAAGTCAATATGAGGATAACCGAATGCATGAATAAACCCCCACATTTAACGTTCCAGGAACGACCCTGGTCGTTTGGTTAAGTTTCCAATGAGTGCACGTATCGTGTTGTCGTTGTCTAGGAAACGGGCATTAAGACAGAAGGCACTTGCAACGCCCGATCCTTCATTCGAAAGAAACATCAAAGTTCTTAACCTGTACGTGTTGTTGAGAAAGGTGTGCATGCATCCATATCTACTCGAGTATCCCATCGATCCTGAGACGCAGGACTATCGTATGGACGAGGAACTGATTACATCCTCCGGTAAAACACTACTGCTCGATCAAATGTTGCCCGAATTGAAAAGGCGAGGTCATAAGGTATGTTGGAGATATTATAGCCCGTGATCTGCGTATTGGCCGAAATTTTCTAATTACGATTGGGGCAAGCCGCCATTTTGAATGGTGGCAAAACTGACGATATTTACAACTAAAATCCGCTTCTTCTACGTCGATGTACAGTTGCAGAGTTGTTAGTCTAGGTTTGGTTTTTTTTGAGATTGGGTTATTAATTTCTTTTTAACTTATTTTTTACTGAAAGTTTTGCTTTTTGCCATCTTGCAAGATTGCGTCCTTACCTCACCTTGGCACGGTAGTTAGACATCTAGGGGCTTGGGTTCTAAGTTATATTTACGATAAAATATTTGTACAACGATCTGTATAAAAAAACGGCTAAATATTATCGATGTTAATAAATATCGATCATTAATTATTTCAACCACATGCATCTAATCTCACTAATCCGGTCAATAATATCATGCAAAGCAATCTCGAAGTATGAGCTTCTTGAACTATCTCTCCGCAATTCATCAAAATAACGAAGAACTTTCCTGCAGAGAGTTCTTCGTAATTTCGGATAACATTGTTTGAAAGACCATTCGGCGAGGAAGATGCTCTGTACGAGAAAGATTTTCACATAAATTCAGTATTGGGTTTACCCAACTTAAGTTTGTCAAGCAGCCATGTGCATATGAAGATATACAGTTGCAAATTTGATGATAGTTTTTTTCTAATGTTTAATAGGATTGTTTTTTCAAACTTTAAGATGGCGTCCTTGCCTCATCATGACACGGTGCCAGGTGTTTCGGTTGTAAATCATTGCTTTCGCCTTGACACCGTAGTTGTATGTTCTATTTTATTGGGGAACGGGTTCTAAATCATTGCACTCGCCTTGACACGGTAGTTGTATGTCTATTGGGGAATGGGTTCTAAATCATTGCTCTCGCCTTGACACGGTAGTTGTATGTCTATTGGGGAATGGGTTGTAAATCCTTGGTTGATTTATGAGAATTCCTCTGAAATTTGTTGGCAGGTTTTGCTGTTCAGCCAATGGACAAAACAACTGGACATATTACAGGACATCTGTTACATACGCGACTATAAATATTCACGTATCGATGGAGACATGAAGTTTGCGGAAAGACAAATCCAGGTAAGTCTCGACACGATTAGCTAGGAGTGAATAGGAACTCCCAAATACTCGCTCATTCGAGAGGGGCAACCCCCCGTAATAATTTTGAAAAATCTCACACAAATGCCACAAATCACACCTGTAGTCATATCAAATAATGGCTATTTGGTAGACTTCTGTAGTGTACACGTCCCTGAAACGCATTAATTACCCTTGAGTTTTGTTATGTGTAGGATTCCTGAAAAAATAATTTGTGGAGATCTAAATTTTAAAAGTACTCTGGTAGGCATGCCTCAGAGTCTCCCTAGGATTTAAATGCCTTGGGAACGAGACCCCTCTTGCCAATATTTCATAAAGTGTCCGCCACTGCTTCGGTTGCTGCACTACCCGACCGTCCCTATAATCCAACCCCCTGTCAATATTTCATAAAGTGTCCGCCACTGCCTCGGTTGGTGCATTACCCGACCGTCCCTATAATCCACCCCTGCCAATATTTCATAAAGTGTCCGCCACTGCCTCGGTTGGTGCATTTCCCGACCGTCCCTATAATCCACCCCCTGCCAATATTTCATAAAGTGCCCGCTACTGCTTCGGTTGCTGCACTACCCGACCGTCCCTATAATGCAAACACATTTTCTTACGACGTAGAGAGCCGTAGGTAGGTGGTTTTCTTACCTATATATATGCATGTAAGAAAACCACCTGTAGAGCAGAGTGGTCAAATGGACCGATATCCAGAAAAACGTTAGTTGTTAGTTCACATCAATTGAGCAAACAATACTTTCTCCAATAATCCACTAACCGTTTTATCCTTTTTGCAGATCGAAAACTTCAATTCCGATCAGAACGTGTTCATTTTCCTCTTATCGACGCGCGCAGGAGGTCTGGGCTTAAATCTGACGGCCGCCGATACAGCGATCATATATGATAGTGATTGGGTAAATAAGTTTTGTCCTCTTGACTTTGGTGATTTTTCCCAATGCACGAGCAGCTTCGAACTGTACCGAACCTTGAAAAATATTAAAAGAGGTCTTCTATTTTTATCTCGTAAAAAATCGGCGAACGATATTTTGTAACGTCTTTCAATACTTGTCTTGTGACCAAAACCTCTTTTCAACAATGCGACGATAGATATGCTCGGAAAAGCTTGATTTTTCTCACATTTTCAGAATCCGCAAATGGACTTGCAAGCACAAGACAGATGTCATCGGATTGGTCAAACCAGACCCGTTATCGTGTACCGACTTATTACGGCAAATACTATCGACGAGAAGATTGTCGAAGTTGCTCGCGACAAGAGGAGATTGGAGAAGATGGTCATCCATAAAGGTAAGTTGCTGTAAAACATCATGCATGTACGCGGCACGTGACTTGCTCGTTCTACACCGTGAAGCCTGTTGCGAGCTTTGCGCATACCTCGCTAAAATTTTGTTTTACGCAAATGTTTACGTAAAGGTAGCATTCATGTTACGCATTCTTTTTCGTTGGTCAAATTTAAAAACGCCTTTTGAAAAATGGTTTTGTGAGAAAAAATCTAAACATTTTCACGAGAATACGAAATCGTGTGAACACATGAAATTTAGAAATTTCCTATGCTAGTGAATTGACGTAGCGCGTTGCATGATTATAGAGCGATTCAAAGGCATGCGCACTGACAAAGCGCTGTCGTCAAAGGAAATTATGCATCTCTTGCAATCGTGCGATCACAATGCTGCTATCAACTCCAAAGAAGTTAGCAGTAATGTCCTGTTGACGAAAGAACAACTGAACAAACTAATGGACCGCAGTGATATGGTTACGGATGGCAAATCGAAAGCAACTGCAGAGAACGTCGATGACGACGAAGACAAAGCTTTGTTCAAAGTCGTCAAAAGCGATGAATGATAACGGAAAAATGAAGAAAACCATAAATTACCGCATTCACGAGCAATTTTCTATAAAAAATTATAAAAATATCGCGACCAATATTGTTAAATTTACAAACGGTTTTAGTGATGTATAGGGAAATATATATATAAATGGGAGTTGTTCGATAAAGCACAACTTTGTGCTCGTGTTTTGCTTATTTAGCTATGTAAAATTCTTTGTTTGTGTTTTTATAATATTTGTAATAACCAAAATAAAAATCTTCATGTTTCGTTCAAGCGGACGTGTGGTTTGAAGTACGTAAAATAAGATAGATCAAGGCAGCTCTAGAACATAAAAATTTAATTTCAGTTTTGTCTACTTACTCTTCCTCTACGTACGCATGCATGGTTTTGTAAACTTTTCTGCATATATTTAAGCGATCAAGTAGAACTTCACAGTAATAATGGGTAATTCGTTAATTTTTTTGTTTCTCGCATATGTTGTGTGATTATCATCGTGCCCGTCAGTCATTTGCTAACCACAGCCATGAATCGAATGAAGTGTACAGTAAAAGCTTGCAACAAATGGAGGCCCTGCGAAGTGCAGGGTTGCTCAACTGGGGAGACTGGGGTAACCAATTTTGGTCTGTGGTCAGTGTGTAGACATTGAACTAAAATACATGGAACGCTACCTGAAGCAAATAATTGAAGCCAAAACTTACGCGTGTGAAGTGTTTGAGATTCTCTCGCGGAGTGAAAATTGATTGACTACACACGCGTGTCTGGGTGTAATCTCGCGTGCCTGGGTGTAAAATTTGGCTTCAAAAAACTACTAGGCTTTTGTATTACAGGTAGCGTTCCATGTATTATGGCTCAATGGTTGACATTGACCATAAATTTATATTTGGTCTCCCCACTTTTAAAACGACGCGCTGCCTCTGAAGTGGCTCTGTACTGTTCATTCCATATACTGCGACAAAGGTTATTTTAGCTCGCATTGTTTCTACTATATTTGAACCTTTATGATAATAAAACGGAGACTTTGTCGTGATGGCAAATCTAAGGCTTGCTTCAAACGTCGAACTTTACATGAGCCGATAGGTCACTACCCCCGCATAGGTCACTTCCGTGTGAGCTTTTGCAAAAATCAAATGCGTTATACAAATTAAAGAAGGAATGAAGTATGTTTCATTTTATTCAACATCACGCACCTTTTGAAAACGGCGTTTTGAAATTGAAAAGTGAATAAATTTCGTATATGAACGCAATTCATTTATGCAAAAACTCACACAGACCCTAAGCGGTATGGTCTATAACGTAGGCTATGTATTGAAAACAACTCCAAAATTATCACTTTGATGAAAGTAAACATATTTTACAAACAAAAATCTGAAATTTATTTCATTGCGCCAAATATTGAGCAGAATCGCGGTCAATGCAAAAATATTAACAAAACACAACAGATAATTAATTTTCAACCATATTCTCAAGGCCTACGAATTGGTGAAACCCAAACCAGTGCCTCTAGTCATTTGCCTAGCATCGAGAAATTGCTTTTCGAGGGAAGAGGCAAACGTCTTTTCTTGTTGTTTGTTCATTGCCATGGTGGAATGGCTGTTTTTCTCTTTATTTCGCGAGGTCGTCTTGTGTGCACCCATCAAACGAAGGAATTTCTCTTTCATATCAGGCGTGGAAAATTCGGCGCTTTCCCATTGATTGGCGATCGTATCTTCATCATTAACCTGCAAAACAAAGCCGCAAACATGTCAACACCAGCTTCGTCATGAAGACAAACCTACTGAACTTCCCATCATGCACGTCGGTCACAAGACAATTCATCCTACCTTTTCATTTGACATATTTTCGACGTTCGACTTTTCTTTTGCTTCACAAACATCTTCCTTCTTGCGTTTCTTGTGTTTATTCTTCTTTTTCACAACCACAGCATCATCATCATGTTTGGATTCTTTCTCGAGTACATTTTCACCGCTCGCCTCCTTTTTCTCTTCCACATTATGTTCAGAGATCTTTACGTCATCAGGAGTCGAACGTTCTACGTAATTTTCGTTAATCAACGTTTCCTTTGCATCAACATCATCTCCATGTTTACTTTTCCTGTGCCTTTTTTTGTTTTTCACAACCACAGCATCATCAACATCTTCTATATTATGGTCAGACATCTTTGTAACATCTGCGGTTGGACTTCTTGTTGCGGAGAAATCCTTTTCCTTATTCGACGTTTCCTTGGCTTCGCCGCCATCTCCTTGTTTACGTTTTTTGTGCTTTTTCCTCTTTTTCACGGCGTCATCAACATGTTCTGAAGCCACCTCGCATTCAACTTTATCGCTCGTTTCCTTATTCACTTCCCCGTTACCGTCAGACATCTTAACATCGTTTTCGACGGTTGAAATGTCCTTGGTTTTACGAAGGTCTTCCTTTTTGCTTTTCTTGTGCTTCTTTCCTCTTTTCACCGCTCCTGTCTCATCAGCATTTTTCAAAGCCCCTTCGCATTCAATTTTTCCCACATCATTTCCCGCTTTTTCATCCTTATTAACAATCGTCGTTCCATCGATTTTTGTACTGTTTTTCGTTAATAACTCATCATCAAACTTCGAGATTTGTCTGCCTTCATCATCAAGTTCTTCCTTTTTACTTTTCTTGTGCTTCTTTCCTTTTTTCGCAGCTCCTGCGTCCTCGGCATCTTTAAAATCCTCTTCGCATTTAATTCTTTCCATTTCATCCCCCATTTCTTCGCCATAATCAAAACTCTTTGTTTCATCAATTGTTGTACTGTTCTTGATTGAGAAATCATGACCAACACTGGAGATTTGTTTGCCTTCATCATCAAGTTCTTCCTTTTTACGTTTCTTGTGTTTCTTTCCTTTTTTCTCAGGTCCTGCCTCCTTGGTATCTTTCAAAGCCTCCGCGCATTCAATTCTTCCACTTTCATTCGTCATTTCATCGTCATTATCAACAATCTTGGTTTCCTCGATTTTGGCTCTGCTCTTAGTGAGGAAATCATTGTCGACATTCAACTTGTCGTGTAGTTCTTCCTTTTCACGTTTCCTTTTTTCCTTTTTCACAGCTGCTACCGCTTCAACAACATTATGTTTGGAAATCTTGTTTTCAGCAGTAGTTTCATCATCATTCTTCTGATCCGCGATCTGTGTACTACCACCCATTGGTCTGGTCTGAGAGACATCCTCGTCTAAATAGGACAAATCTTCGCCGTCTTCATGAACTTCTTTCTTTTTACGTTTTTTGTGCTTTTTTCCTTTGCCGGCTTCATCAGCAATGTCCGTACATGTACTCTCTCTATTACTGGGGTGAACTGATTCAACTTTCTGGAGCTCTTTGCTTCCTCTTCCCGCACCGTCATCAGTGGCTTTATTTACCATTTCACTCGTTTCGTTACCGTCTGGCATTTTCACACCTTCAGGCGGATTCGTATCAATAATCGAATTCTCTAAAACGCCACTTTCCTCCTTACGCTTTTTGTGTTTTTTATTTTTTGTAATTTTCGCTTCGTTGTCGAACTCGACAATTTTTCCTTCGCCTTGATGGCATTTCTCTTCGCCTTGATGTTTTCTTTTCTTGTGCTTTTTACGTTCACTTTTTGCGTTGGTCATGGTGTCATCAGTTGTGTGACTGTTAACGCAAAAATATGAAGAAGTATATACAGAAAATGATCTAAAATAAATGCCTGGATAAACATCCAGGAGTTTATTAAATCCCCAGGAGGATTCTCTAGGCGGAGTTAAATAGATGCTTCGTTTAAATCAATTTTACTACTTTAGTTTGAACAAATGAGAACAAAACTTAGACTAAATACTTGGTTTTTTAGCCCAATCAACAATTTACTACATTGATATAATAATATTTTTATAACAGTAATAAGTTGGGGGATGGGGGTTGTAAAAGGTTGTCAGAAAAAGGCCTCTAAAAAAGAAATTCATGTTCTAAAGAGGAGTGTGTTTAATAGATAAGCACTGTTTACTTGATAGGAAAAGTTAATTAGATCATTTCTAAAGTAAATGATTTGAACCTGGGAGTATCGTTCCTGTTGTTGTTGTTGACTGACCTTTCGACACCATTATGACAAACACTAAGATTTTTGAAATATCTGTCAATAACAACAACAGTCCTTCTCAGCATTCTACTAAACTGGACGATCTACATCTACAAACATGGTTCATTTTTGCTAAGTATGGTTTATCAGTCATTTCACATCAATTCAATACCAAGCATATTAATTCAAGAAAGATCATTACCTGTTCGGCATTTCAATATTCTGATTGTTACTGCAAAAATCAAATCAAAATAAAAGAAAATTTAGACATGCAATGGACAGCAATACTCTCTCAAGTTTCAATATTTGTCAAGCAAATGCTAGAAGCAATGTCATCGCATACTGCTCCCAAGATGAGACCGTCCATTGGAAAATCCTCTACGAATGAAAAATTGTGTGCATATACATATTAATATCTGCAAAAGCTCCACTTGGAATAAAATTTGAGATCATTACTTCATTGATTGCTCATTGAAGAGAAGTGATTATTTATGCAAGATTCAAGAATGATCGTTCAATTTTGAGTATTGCCTAATGGACACAGTTAGTCAAATCCAAGATAAGTTATGATTTGTTGGATTGCATTACCTCATTTTAGGATGATCACTTCGATTCTAGTCGATTGTGGTTCATGAAATTGTTGCCAACGGGTGAAGGCTTGATAAAAGATTGTTATGGTATGAATACATGCCATTAACTTGATAGTAATAATATACTTGGAAATAAACAAAACAATTAGGATAGGTTTTTTTATTAAAGAAATTTGTTACATTAAACATTTTGTCCTCTTGCTGTTGCCACAGATTTTGCAAAATGCTTCATGAGTTCTGGGATTACGAAAACCAAACATTGCAATTTTAATGATTTTCATTTAATTTGCGCATTCGTTGATCGAATGGCGAGGGGCGAGTGAGTTAAGCCAATCTTGGTCAATTTTAGTTTTGAATTCACGGTTATTCACCTTCTAAGTTTCGAACCAATTCAAGCTCTTCCGTTTCTTCACGCTAAAAATTAATCAAATAACTAGCTCCTCGAGAAGCGTGCTGTGTAAATAACTTCAAAACTTAAACGTGCGTACTTTCAGTAAGTGAACTTGTACGTAAATTGGTTTGTACTTTGTGAACTTGCAAGTAAATGATGCAAAAGCAAGTCAAGCAGCATCGATCGACAACTTAACCACGTGCCAAAAAAGTCATATTAAATTTACAACAAAGTTAGCACGTGTGTTATATGCGCCCGCGAATATATTACATACTTTGCCCCCAGTTGTCGTACTTTATATAACATAATCTCTTCAATGCCAAAGCCATCCATCTCTTCCAAGAAAGCGAGTTTGCTGAAAGGAACTGAAAGACAGGTGACAACTGATTACATGAATAGCCCTCTCCCCTCCATTCAATCAACGTTCTAGCGACGGCTTTGTATTAGCGGAAATTTTTGTTTTTAGCCAGTCTATATGTTTGTATTTTCTATTGACTCAACACAAACCAACAGAAAAAAGTGATGACTTTGTTATGTGCCCGTTCACAGGGTTATATGGCTATTTGAAATTGTTTGGAATCATTGCACACCCCTAAAACCCTCCATTTTCCTTCAAATTTTTGAAATATCTCAAAATGGGGGTCTGTAATAGCCAGAAGGTATGCTCCCTCCAGCTACCCCACTGGCAATAAGTTGCTCTTAGTTCAGATGCGAGTTTATATTTGTCAAACTTTATCTGTCCTTGTTTTTGAACAAATGTCACCGAGCCATCATGGACCAATACACCAATACTTGTGCTCCGTTACTCAAATTTGTTATATTCCCGAAAATGTTTAATACATAATATGTTTAAATTTTTTCGTTTAACTTTTCAGTATTTCATTTGTGGTAGATATATCTGCAAGAATGATCAAGGAATTTAAAAAATTTTCTCTATGTAAATCAATGTAATAATAGATAATAGAAACAGAAATATGAGCATTCTACTGTGCGTCAACGCGCTCAAATCCGGCTGATTGTGACGTCATAACTTAACGAAAGCCCATTGGCTGATTTGTTATACACCCATACGAGAAGGTGAATGTCTTCAATCTTCATAGCTGCCATATTGAATAGAGGCAAGGAAGTGCATCGTGTTTTGATCGAATTAAATGTTCGCGTAAACATATGCATGATTATTTGACATTGCAATGGAATGACTCTGTAAATGTGGCATGGGTTCCTTTTCAAAAGTTGGATAAACATTTGGGTATGCTATTTATTTCTCTTCTTGAGTTGATAAGTTGCTTTACACTGTGTTAAATCATACCCAGGAAACGATACGGAATTATGCCAATAATCACAGGTGGATATTCTCATGATAGTTTTGTCGCAATCCGGCCAAACTACTTCTTCGTTATGATGATTTTTGATGAGTACAATGACGGCTCTTACTGTTGATAAAAGTTTGTATTTTGTACTCTCTATGCCTATGCAATTTCAACATTGACTGTTGCACTTTTTTCCCAGTTACGTTCAGAATTGTACTCGTACATAAAAGGTTTAATATTTCCAAGCCTGCTTAAGGTAGCACCTCTCGGTAGTGAAATTTGCCCTCTTATGGGATTGGCTGAATATCTTCCTTGTTAATGTTGTTTTATTTATTGCTTCTTGCGTACTTAACAGATTAAATGTCTTTATATTAGTTAATACACGGAACTTGTATTTACAGCATTGGCATTTTATGTTAATGTACGTACAAGGTGTTTTGATGAATAAACATTGATGATCAAACAAAGGGAAATGTGTCCAAATAAGTCCTTGAGAATTATCTGATTTATTTTATATTATTTGTTTGTACCGTTCCCAATACGTGACACATCACATCATAAGATAAAACCAAGAGACACTAACCAGCTACGAATGTTTGGCATTTTTGTCTTTTATATTGTTATCCATTCCATGATTATTTATATTGCTCCTATAGGTGATAGAATTTTGTTAAGTATTGCACAGCTAACGTATAATTGAATTTTGGTAGAATTCACTTTTTGACTTCTAATGATTTCTTGAACTCGAGAATTTCTCTGAGGGCGAGGATGACTTTTTATAAATCATTTTCATCTTAGATTTACTGAAATGAAAGTGTTTGATTTGCTTGAAATATTGCTGAAATTAGTGAACCAGGAAGTATTTTGTCTGAAAGCATGCTAAGAATCAAAGTAGTTGAAGTGAGCTTCCACAAATGAGAGTCAACTGCATATTGTTTCTCAATCAAATACATCATACATCCAAATTTAAGTGTCTTGTTGTTTTCATTCTATTATTGTTAGCTCAAATCTAAGATTAATCACAACACACTTGCGTTCTCTCATTATAATGTACATTAAGTATAACGTTGCCTGACTGTATGCCTGAAAAGTTGCATGACATGACAGGAGGGAAGGTTTAACTTTTCATCTTTCAGCTAATTTTTTGCATTAATGATTACTTGTTTTAAATGAGTTTTAGAAAAAATAAGAAAACATTCAAAAAATCTGTATATAAGGAGAAATGCCTCCACCTCCTCCACCCCCTCCAGGACCTCCTCCTCCTCCTGCAGCTCCTTCGAAAAAATCTGGATCAGCACCACCACCCAGTAATAAAAATCGAGGAGCTCTGTTAAGTCAAATCCACAAAGGAGCAAGATTAAAGAAAACTGTTACCAATGATCGAAGTGCCCCAGTTGTTGATTGTAAGTTCATTTTAATTAATGCCATTTGATCATTTTGAATTAAATTATTCATTTTTATCATCAGCTATTGTTTAGTTACCTTCATTGTTTGTTTATTCCGTGTTTACATGAAATACAGTTACGTATTCTTGTTTACAACTTCTGACTCTTTGCTATACGTCCATATTTTATTTATGATGAACAAATGTTGAAGGAAAAAGCGTTTAAGTATCTAGAATGCCTGTTTACTCCTTCATAAAGTGCAAAACAAAGTTTTTGACATATTTTATCCAGTCATGAGATAACGCAGTATTTTCTCATTGCTGGTTCATTGGGATTGAGAAAGGGTTTTCTGCACTTATCTCCGATACATACTGCTTGCTCTTTATATTCAAAAGCAAGGTTAATAACCTCAAATACTATTCCTTTGACTGTTGTTTACGTATATAATTCAATAGGTTAGAGTGGTGGAAGATTTCAATTGACATTGCTTTTGACCTGAATGAATCACTGTCTTTGTTTTTGATTATTGTAGCTAAAGGTGGTGGTGGGGGCAAAGGTCCCTCTGGAGGTGGCTCTCCTGCTGGTGCTGGTGGTCTCGGTGGTCTGTTTGCAGGTGGTATGCCGAAATTACGACCTGCTGGTTCAAGAGGTGGAGCAGGAGGTAAAATTTTTATACTGAAAATGAAAATATTAAATAAATGGTTTGGATTACAGTTAATGGCTATGCTGAATATGCAGAAAATTTTGTTTGTTCCTGCTTACTTGGTAACAAGTATTTTTTTTTGATCAATATTCATACATTTCTCTACTCTGTTGCACAAGGCATCTTAAAGTAAGACAAAAGAGCAGTAATTTAAGTTGTTTTTATGTTAAAACCAGTATTTCACTTTTCTTAATAAAATAATTTACTGCATAAATGATTCACTGAACCGGGTATTCGCAAAATGCCTCTGAATTTTTTATACTTTAGTCGTATAGGTAATTTGAGTTGTAATTTTGTGTGCATATTTGCAGGAGAACCAGCTTTTCATGCTAGATTTTTTCAGTGCACCTTCAAGACATCATAAAACAGTTGCCAGACTTACATGATAATGCATTATGAATTGATTTACCAATTAGTGATATATATATGTGGTGGGGCAAGTTCCAAAACATAAACCATACGCCATACATGGCCAGCATGCAGTCTCTAAGTGAAGGGAGTGCAAAATGAGGGTGACACTCATCCTATTTTCTCTCCCCCCTCCGTAAAGACTACACGCAGGCCAGGCTATACATTACTTATGTTTCTATTTTGTGTCAAATGAGGATTTTTAATGTTTTATATCGTTATGTACATGTTGCTACAAATTTTATAGATGCATAACCCGTATAATTATTTAGTATTTTTTTGTTGCATTGTTTTGATATGTACGAAGTTGTACGAAGTTGTACGAAGTCGAAGTTAAAATATAAAACCAGACAGTGCAAGAAATTTCATTTTCGCTGCCTCTACATGATTCTCAATTCTGAATGTTTAATTTTATCACGCGGGTTTCGATAGCGTATTTGTAATATTTTCTACTTCGTTAAATACAAGACAAGTAGCGTCGAGAGCATTATAGTTGGAAATAAAACTGTTGATAAAGATCGAGCTATTCAGTCCGTTTGTGTTTCGGTGATAAAACGGCGTGTTTTCAATCCATTTTAATCTCGTTTGCTTATCTGCTTATCGCCGTTTTTCATGTGAATGGTTTCGTTTTTGTTCATCTATTTTGCCAAAATAATCAGGATTTATCTTCTTACCTCGTATTTAAAGTTGTCACGAGCACTTTTAGAGCATTTTGTGTTTATTGTCGATTTTACAGTCGATGGAATTTTCACATTTGAATTTGTGTATCAGAAAAATATTTTATTATTTTTAAACATTTTCATTTGGACATCCTTTCCTGTATGTCTTCAGGTGCAAAGACGTAGCTACATATAATTAGACATTCAAAGGTTAAGAATGCGTTTTGTCATATAAATGATGCTGTAACCCTGAATATTTAAAAAACTGTGTTTTCGCGTTTAGAATCACCACACAACGTTTTGTCAACTTTTTAAACACATCGCTTGCCATAATTTTATGTCCCGAACACACCTAACTACAGCTTGAACATTTCTAAATGCATAGCTACCTCGGTAAATTTTGCTATCTAACTGCTTGCGCCTTTGAGTGCGATTTAGTCCACAGCTAATAAATTTGTTGCAAACAGTTTTCATATCAGTCTGTCGTGCATAATTTGTTGAGCAAATATCTTGATTCGTTGAGGAACCGTTTATTTATAATTCATGCTTGGCAAATCGTGGTAATACACTCTTGGTAACGAACGTCTCGTTAAGTACTACGATGAAAATTGATATCAATTATCTTTCAATTTCTAGGAGCAGCATTAAGACCACCAGGGTCGCGACCCACCACTCCTTCCAAAACAACTCCCGCACCAAATGCGAGTAGCGGAAGTGCAGGTCCACCACCGCCTCCTGGTAGGGCTCCACCTGGTAGCAAGAGATCTGTGGTTGATGCTCTACCACCGTCTCCTAGCATGGGCCCTCCTCCCCCACCTCCTGGAAGAAATGTTGGGTCATCCAGCAACCATAGTGCGGCTAATTTTCCACCGCCGCCACCAATTAACAGAAATGAAAGTCCTCGTGGTCCTTCGCCACCACCTAATCGAAATTTCACGCCTTCTAATGCTAGGCCTTCTGTAAGAGGTAGCGGTCCACCCACTCCTAGTCGTACTTCAACTGCGCCACCAACGCGATCACCTGTTCCACCACGATTGCATTCTGCTCCACCCCCGCCACCTAGTAGAGGACCATCTGCCCCTACATCTACCCCATTTAACCGTGCCCCTACACCTTCCTCATTTAATCGTGCTCCCACACCTTCCCCCTTTAATCGTGGTCCTACGCCTCCTCCACCAAACCGAGGCCCGACACCTCCACCGCCAAACCGTGGCCCTGTGCCTCCACCAAACCGTGGCCCTGTGCCTCCACTCAAACCGTGGCCCTGTGCCTCCACCGCCAAACCGTGGCCCTATGCCTCCACCGCCAAACCGTGGCCCTACTCTTTCCCTACCAAACCGTGGCCCAGCACCTCCGTCATTAAACCGTGGCCCAACACCTCCACCACCAAACCGTGGCCCTCCACCAAGAGGATTGGGTGCCCCTCCTCCCCCCTCTCGTGGTGGACTTCCTCCACCTCCGCCATCATCAAACAGACCATCTAATAATTTAGGGGCTCCTGCACCACCTCCTCCCCCTCCTGCATCGTCTGCTCCGCCTCCACCTTCTCGTGGAGGACCACTTCCTCCACCTCCACCAGGCACTTCATTTAGGGCCCAAGGGCCACCTCCACCACCACCAGGTCGTGGACCTCCTGGCCCACCGCCCCCATCAAACAATAGAAGTAATAGTGGGAATCCCTCTCTGCCTACTGGGAAATTGGTAGTGCCTCCACCACCACCTTCTCGAGGACCACCACCAGGCGCACCTCCTCCACCTACACGATCGGCTCCTCAGCAGCCTTCGAATACACAGTTTTCACCTTCTTCTTCGTCTTCAAATGCAATTGGAAATAAAAAAAAATACACTTCGGCGGACAATCACATTTTAAATGGTCCTCAACCACAAATAGGCAGAACTTCAAGTACTACAGGTATGTGCTCATCACTAGATGATTTGCTGTTAAATTAATCTGATAAGTTGAGTTTATAACGCCATTGTCATAATTGTAGAGTTTGCTTGCAAAATTCTGTAAAATGAACCATATTTCGTCTGCAAAGCGAATAATTTGACCGTCTTTTTGTATTTTCCTATTTGGTTACTCATGTTTTCTTCGTGTACCTTGCATCTACCTGTTTTTGGTTGATTCCAAATTTTCCTTTATGTTCATAATCTTATTTTTATAGAGTCATGTCTTTCTACATGATGCCTGTTTTGCGTGCAAATTAAAATGAGAAATAACTATTAAATCCAACAGATTTTCGAAGTTTGAGAAGGACCGTTAACTCTTGCGGGGAACTTGAAATGGAAAATGTTTTGACCAATCATTGGGCACGACATCGCAAATTACTGCCTGCACCAACGTGAACTTATTGGTGAAAATTTGCTAAACTCTTGGCCAGGCCTAGGGTATTTGCCTTATTGAAAAGTCGTGAAAAATGGCATGGTCATCGTACTGCTTTTTGAAGGAGAAGCAAATTTGAGAGCGTAAAGGAACATTGCACTCATCTTTCATGAGTTAGAGTCGCATTTTTTGTACTCGCTCGGCGTGACTAAGTGCTACGTGCTTCCTTTGTATTATCATCGAATGTTTTGCTATGCCGCTAGCTTTGGACAACACAACTTGATTATTTATAGTCTTCCCATTGTTACATATTGTGCTTGTTAGCTATGCAGTTTTTCTTTCCTGGATAAACGCATTATGGCAAACTAAGCTGATGCTGCCCTGCATGTATAAGTGGCGTATGAGTACAAGCTTTTCATGTTTGTTCTGAGCCAGCCCGTTTTTTTTTTCATTTTTAGATGATTTTGAGACGCGATTTAGTTTCAAATCAGATTTACCTCCGCCCGAGCCTTACAAAGAATTTCCGAAAACCTATCCCAGTAAGAATAGGAAGGATAGAGGTTAGTAGTATTCGTTGGTTTTACAAGAGATCGTGTTCGTCTTTTGCTTTATAAAGCAACAACTTGTCATCGCCACAGGTATTCATATTTGAGCTGTTGTTCAGTTTATAAAGCAACAACTTCAAAACTGCACACATGGACAGACATTTGACAGAATATTGTGAGGGAGCGGCGGTAAAATGAATCAAACGATAATTTGAAATATTGAACACTTTTTACTCAGTTTTACTGTACAGTTTCCTAGCCTCTAATACTATTACAATTACAGTCTGCAGTACGTAATACCATCTGAGAAAATTTCTTGTTTGATGCTAGGAAATTTAGGGGCGTGCACCCTGCCCCGGAGAGAAAATCCGCCCCTGAGTATGAATATGCAAGCGATGTAGAGTGTAGACGCACCGTAATGACATTTATTTTGCTCTCAACCAATGACGCACTATGCGTGCCGTCTGTGTTTTCAATTTTACAGTTCAAATTGTCTTTCGTCAGGTTTTTAAGTGAACTCTGAACATATATTTTTAATTGATAGTCTTTGTAGCTCTAAGAAATTAGCAAAAGTGTGTTTGATGTTAAGAGATGGAAAACCTGATTTTCAACCTGAATAAACAAAACTTGTCTTTGTTTCACGAATATTTCACATTTATGATGGTTTGACGAGACAATTCGAGTGTTTCACGCAGTGTATAAAAATTTATCCAACTCCAGTCTCCTGCGATTTCAGGTGCAGTTCAAAGGGCGCCTCCGCCTAACCCCACCGGTGCAGTGAGAAGTGCTGCACCGCCCCCACCGCCCCACCTTCAAGAGGAAATCAACCTCCACCACCTCCACCAGTTTCTAGAGGAGCACAACCTCCACCACCTCCACCAGTTGCTAGAGGAGCACAACCTCCACCACCTCCACCGGTTTCTAGAGGAGGGCAACCTCCACCACCTCCACCGGTTTCTAGAGGAGGGCAACCTCCACCACCTCCACCGGTTTCTAGAGGAGGGCAACCTCCACCACCGCCGCCACCTCGTAGATTGTAAAGTTGACTATAAATTGATTACGTTTATCAATAGCAATGATAAATCTTTAAATGTGTAGCAGGTATATTTCAATTGCAATCGTTCCTTGATACGTCAACTGGCCCGAGAGGTGGACGAAACGAACAGCTTGTCTCCACGACGCGAGGAGAAAATTCTACCTATTTATTTTGCACACGATATTGATAGCACAGGAGAAGTCGGTATTCGAAATTATCGTAGGATTAAAACTGTTGATACTGGCATTTTGCGTAGTTTATGTTATTATTTTTGAACATTGATAAGTTTTAAAACTTTATTCCCATTACACTTTTATTCATATTTGCTTATTAAATATCGTTAGATTATGATTCACAAGTGTCATATTCTTATTTTAATGAAGTGAATGGTTTCAACCTGGGAGTATCGTTACATGTTTGTAGATATAGATCGAGCAGGTTTGTAGGGGCACGAGAAGGACTGTTGATGTTGGTGTTGATATTGATGTTGACGGACGTTTTTAACAACTTAAGTGGTAGTCAATATTCTTGGTGTGCAGTGACGCCAAGGTGGGCACCAAGGTACAAAGCTGGATAAAAAGATAGACACAATGACACGTACATGAAGATGGACATAAATATTGACATAAAGGTAGGCACAAAAGTGGACAAAAGAAAGAAAATAAAGGTCGACACAATGGTAGACCAAAGAGGTAGGGAAAAGGGCAATAACAAAATGAACACAAAGGACTGAAGGGAAAAATGAAGGAATAAAGGAAAATAGAAAAAATGAAAAGGGACATAAAAAATGTAAACATGTGGACATAATTCAAATGACAATGGAATGGTAAAGAATCGTGGTATTGCGTTAAATCATTTTGGTGAATGGAAAAAATGAAATACTTCACAACAAGAAACTTATTTAGGCCGTATTCTATGGTGGATTATTGTTCAGGTTGAGATGCAGAAATTCATGACTAAGTAAAAACAACATAGATGTACTGATATGTACTCACTTAACATAAATCTGCCTGTTTACATCCCGAAAACTTGCAATCAAGAGAGCTAGAGCCATCAAAAATTCGACATTTATTTTCTATATCCGCATATTGTTTTGTGTGAAATTCGCTAAATTTGCTGGCTCATATTCAAAAGAACGGTGCTAAATAATGATTAAGGTCAATCTTTCTAAGTTAATTTGAAATGATATGTTTAGCTATTAATCTTCCATAGCTGCTTGATGGACAAAAGACTAAAAATGAAAAACAATTCTTGAAATTGAATTGCGAAGGAGTCCTTCATCTTTTTGTAAATAATATAACGATAATAAATTGGCACATGAGATTGCGTACTCAGAATCCTTTGGTCGCCATCTAGCTCCTGCTGTACACACTGCTGAGCAGTGCATTCTTAATAGAACATTTCATTGAAATCGTTTATGAAGTTTTCATGTGTATCGTCGGCATCATCGTAATCGCTATCATCGCACTCATCCGGCTCTTTCATTGGGCCGTCATCTTCAGAGGCGTAGTTACTGCAGTCAGAACAACCGCAAATGTCAGTACATTGCAAACCAGACTTCACGCACGAGCATCGAAGATTCTTGCAACCAGCTTTACACTTGCAAGTCACGCACTCAATAAGTGTATCTGGAGCAGATGGTCCAGTCATCCAAAGAATCTCTAACTGACCATTTTCATATGCCATCCATGGCTCACAGGAGGTTGAACATTAATGTGCGATTGCAAACTATTCTTCCAGATGGCTGCTTGGTAGTTGGCTCTCTTAATGTGCAAAAGCATGCTATCTGCATTCGGGGGAAGGCATTCGTCCGAACACTTGCCAGATGCAAAGAGAGTGTACTTAGGACCGAAAGAAATACAAAGCAAATGCAAAAAAGACAATAGTAGCAAAAATATATTTTACATTTACCTTGAAGCATTAACTATCGCTGAACTCTTGTCAATAAATAAAGATCTTTACCAAATTGTAGAAAAATTAGACATTGCTCACCATCAGTAAGACAACAAAAGTAAAATCATATTGTAGGTAGATTAAGTACAGAACATTATGATGTTACAAAACTGGTATTGGAATACCTGTAACATATTGGTTTATTTGTTACATTATTTACCGATTGAGTGACGAAGGACTTTTCTTGCTTGCATATTATGCATATTGATGGAAAAACTGCTTTAGTTCTTATCGGAGGTTTAGAACTGTCATGACAAAACGAGGATGATCGTAGCAGTTTCGTGTGAGGCTCATTTACATCTGTCGACTTATTTTCTTGTATATAGTTTTCATTGACAGTGGCTGCTGAAGCTTCAAACTTTTTGCTCATTCTTTTTCAGCCCGTCTAATCAGGCCGACATTGGTGAACTTTGCCTAGCAATTTCTATGGTACTTTAACTCTCCACGGTACTCAGCCAAAGGACTTTTCATGGACTGAATTTTTTCATCAAATTTTGTTCTTTTCAGCGATGTCTTTTTGCTCACCATTGTATAGTGACCAAAGCTCGTGACAATGTAAAACTTTTTTCAAAGATGTCTCGGTAAAATCAGTCAATGGCCCATTTTCACCTTTAAAATGGATTACACATCCCCGCAAGCTCGCCTTTTTGCTGTTTTGATCATTGCGCATGTTACGTGCGTGGTCCCGAAAGAATAACTATTAATTTTGGTTCTATTTCCACACGCAACAAAGATAGTGTGAACCAGTTATATTTCTCAAACAATTTATTAACCAACGCGTAAATATTAAAGTGGATAAGTGTCTTAATTATAATATCAATAAGTATGAATAAAACTTATCTCCTCTGTCTGAGTACAACCGTGAGTCTTTATTCTTGAGCGTTCGTGAGTCCAACAATGACTCACAACAGTTTTCCAAATAGATTAAAGGCACAAAAGCCAAAAGATAGTTATGGCATAAATGCCAAGATAGTTGTCTGGTAGATTGTAGCTTGTCAAACTACTTCGGTAGTCTATGCCTCCTAAGTTAATCTCCTCGTAGCTTGTGCTCGTAGGTTGTTCTCGTAGGTTGTACTCAGTGGTGTAAACTACTCATATATATATAATATCTAATGGGAAGTATTGTGGTTTTGTGACCTACATCCCATACGCAATACAGTATGTTACAGCACTAAATAGTTAACCACAATAACAACAAATTCGGTTGCGGTTTCAAAATATGTTTACGCATGTAAGCAAGCTTCTAGCGCATGCAAGCAAGCTTCTAGATTATGTCCTAATTAGTAATGACATTGCAAAATGGATTTTAAAGTTAAAATATAAAAATATGGAATGCTTAGTAATATAATATAATATAATAGTAGTTTATAATGATATTACATGATAGTAGTTGCTATCATGTAACAGTGCACCCGCAATTTTTGCTATATTGTCATCAGTTTCACAAATAAAAGAAGATGGCGACAGGTAAAACTTTAAACGAATATTATGAAACTTTGGAGTACTGAAACTCCAAAGATTGCAATTTCAAGAGATGCAAACAACTTAAATCATATTCAGTCATTAAAAATAAGTAGTTTTCTGTGAGTTTTATGTAGTCATGAATTTCGGCATTTAGAAATCATTTTTTAGCACATTTTCTTGATACAGAATACGGCCTAATTGAAATGAAATGTAGATATGATCTTCGCACTACATAAAACATTCTTTCGTAAGAAACTTATTTGAGCAATTTCTCTATGCTCTGACTTTGCAAATTCACAAACTCTTTGAAAAACATTACGATCATTAAACACTATCAATTTCTTACACGACCAAATAATAAATTATATTGTAATCGATAACACGATTACATTAAAATGATTTTCAAATATCGTTTATGTTGTCTTTTATAAAGTAACAACTTTTTCAAATGTCGTTCAGGTCGTTTTCTATGAGAAAAATACATTTTTGAATGTCGTTTATGTCGTCTTCTATGATAAAAATACATTTTCAAGTGTCGTATATGTCGTCTTCTATGAGAAAAATACTTTTCAATGTCGTTTATGTCGTATTTTTTAAAAAAATGTTTCAAAGTTATAATAGTTGTGTGAGAAAGGTCAAAATAAATTGTATGTCGCTCATTCCATAAAAAGATGTCATTTGATAGGTTTCTTAGTCCTTGTTTCCAATTATTAAACTTTTGCCTTTCTGCAACCAACAAAAACGGTCAAAAAATATGGTTGGTGCGTATATATGATGATAAGAAATTGTTCAGTTAGTTCAAACATAAAGTCAAATGATCTCGACGCCATTACATCGGAAAAAACGACAAAAGACTGTTTGTCACTTCCCTGATTTATCACATGGCAATTCGTGAATGACTACCTTCGATTACTTTGATTACATTGACTAGTTTCAACTATGAAATGACTAATTCTTTAAATGTGTTCATCAAAATGAGAACTTTGTCCTATGAAAGGGTTGCAGATCGAGGATTGAGGATTGAGTGCAAAGTTGAGGTTAGGAGGGGATGTGAAAGGGCGTTCGGTTTGCCCTCAGTTTCCTGACTATTAAAAAATGACGTCCTTCGGGAAGTCATAGAAAAATTTTATCAAAAGACTTAGTTTTTTTAGGGTAAAATTTTTGAAACAGACCCACTTTTCTTTTTGTTCTTTGTAATTTTTTTCTGAAAGTGTCGCATTCCATTCTCCAAAAACCAACAATAGAATACAAATTTGTATAACTTGAGTACACTATTATCTACTCTTACTGTGCCCTTGATATGCACGGTACTCTTTCATTGCAAGTCTTATACTCACCACACCAAGCCCAACAACTACCGACTGACCTCGAAAGATTCGAACCCCACACCACAACCTGAGAAACCTCACTCTACACACTCGACCAGTGAGGGCGTTGGAAACGAATTGAAAATTTAGTCTATTTAGGATAAAAGATCCTTGAAGTATAAGAAAAAAATCATTTTGTTAAGTGACGATCAAGAAAACAAACCACACATTTGTAGCATCAACTTTCAAACCATTGACATTTTCACAACAGCACTAGAGATAGATAAAAAAGCATTTCGTTGTAGGACACAGTCATTTATTGTCAGACTGGCCACACAATGGCAATACATTAATATAGTTTCTAACTATGGGATCTATTCTCTCGTGAGACGTCGAAGAAAGTATGTCTGCATAATTTTGTTCTCTGTGCGATATTTCACCATCGTTAGCAGGTACAGATTCGTTTCAGCAGCTGTACAATACGTGTTGAGAATACAATATATCACTCAAAACCATTGTCGAATAGACGTTGTCCATTTCGGCACAGCAATGCCGTGAATATTTGAGTATATATGGTCAAGTACACAAACGATTACATTTCGTCTTTTTTGGCAGCATATTTTACGGTAGTTTATCCCCTGTACTTGGCCATAGCTTCTCAATGTTCAAATATTATATTCATATCCTTCTCTGACCATGTGGAGCGAGTTAATTGTTCTTTGAGAACACTTTATACAGTCATGACGGTGTTTTACACTAACAAGTCGATACGATAATTTCAACATAAACAGCATGCCTTTTATATCCTTGAATATGGTGCGGTACATCCAGTGACAAATGGTTCCTTGGTGGACGTCGTTGTAACTCTGCATTGATAGCTTGCAGTATAAAGTAGATTTTCGTTGAGAATCACTTCCCAACTTGACATAATAGTCGTCCTTCATGCGATCTCTCATAAATATCGGTAAATATTTCGGCTTGCTCTCGACCGGTTCATCGCCCAAGTTATCGTCAGTTTTCCAGTAATATTGAAAGCGTCAATCAATTATTTCTCTTCTTCTTGTGTACTTCCATTTCTCACTCTCTCTGACATTGCACTTGCTGTTGTTCCGTTAATTTACAAGTCTGAATTCAGCGGTACTTTTATAGGCTTTGTTGTTAATTATTTAGACATAACCTTGTGCTTGGTTCACGGCACACGTGTCTGATCATTAACTTGAACTCTGAGACTCTAATTTCTTTTACCTTAGAGGTTTACAAAGACAAAGAAATTGGGATTTTTATTTAAATCTTTTTTTGTTCTTTTTTTAAATCATGTATTACTCTTTTCCTTATGTTTGCGCTTGTACAAATGCTACATTTCACATGTTTCGTTGATTGCCTTTGTTTCATTTTTGTTATAGTTTTGTTATTTCATTCGTGTGAACCAGGCTCAACACGTAAGACATGGGTGAACCTTTACGTCTACCTTTATATCTACTTTTATGTCTACCTATATGTCTACCTTTATGCCAACCTTTGTCTCTTTCTTTATGCCTACCTTTATGTCTATCTTTATGTCTACTTTTTGTCTACCTTTATGTCTACCTTTATGTTTATCTTTATGTTTACCTTTATGTCTACCTTTATGTCTACCTTTGTGTCCACCTTTATGTCTACCTTTACGTCTACCTTTTTGCCTATCTTTGAGTTTACCTTTATGTCTACCTTTGTGTCTAATTTTATGTCTCCCTTTGTGTCTACCTTTGCCTATCTTTGTGTTTCCTTATGTCTACCTCTGTGTCTACCTTTATGTCTACCTTTGTGTCTTTATCACCGAATTTGATTTTTTAAAAGTCATCATTTCATTGGAGACGATATTTAAAAAGTCGTCATCTTATAGAAGACGACATTTAAAAAAGTTGTCATTTCGTAGAGACGACACTTAAAATTGTGTCTAACTTTTAAAAAATTATGTCAAACTTTTTGTCAGCTCTTTCTTCAGGGGGGAGGTGATAAATTTTTGGAAAAGCAGCCAATTTCGGTAAATGTCAACGGCAGAGAAACAAATCCGCCATTTTTTGGCATCCAACGATATCTAAAACCGTGATTGAGATAGACGCTCCAGTTACTATAGATCTTGATGAACTGGATGCTCCCAATCTGCGTGTTTGAGCATGCTCAGATGTTATTAAACAATTAGATTAGAAACTTTTTTCTATAAAGTATATTGTAAGGTGGGGCCATAGTCCTAAATTTTGAGTGCCTGACTAAGTTGCAAAAAGCATGGAACCAGTAGATTGTTACTACACAACTATTAACTATAGGCAAATTTTGTTAATTGCGTAACAAACCAAAATCGTTATTAAAAGATTTGGATTATCAACCGCTCAAAATCCGCAATAAGAAGATTAAAACTGTTTTGAAATTTAAACTTATTCAATTTGAATTTTTAAGGGAACAAATTCTTTGTTTTGAAGGAAATTTTGGTCGGGTTGAGCCCGACCAGCTTGACCTCTAAATACGCTTCTGGTCTACTATTGCGTCTACTTTGTGTCTATGTTTGTGCCTACTTTGTGTATATCTTTGTGTCTACTTTTGCGTATGCTAATTATTTTGACAATTTCTGATGAACACTCACGATTTGTGTTCATCTTTTATAATGAATCAGTACAATATGCAAAACGAAAACAATGATTTGAAACTGTACCCTTTTAGGTGGTATAAAAGCGACTGCACTTTTAAAAGAAAACAGTTGGACAAAGATGAGAACAACTCCTCCCTAATTAGCATTTTATTATTGACCCTGTAAGTCAAAATTTCTTCAGTTAGAGTTTCCTAAGAGCTAGCGTTATTTTCAGTTATTACATGCTTTGGGATGAAGTATTCACAATTGCCAGTTTGATGCTCCAAATATTTGTGCCTGCTTCTCCTCGCAGTTGGTTTTTAGGAGGCACTAAAATGGATCACGAGCTTCAAATTTTGAATTTGTGATGCAAAAATGCATGGCAATTTAGAACTTCTTAATTTGAACATTTGGCGTGCATGCCCAGGAACTCCTCTATTACGAATCACATTTTCGATAAAAAAAAGTGCTATATATTTTGGGCGCATTTTTAGAGGAAACGAACTGGACCCTTGTTCACAGCACACCACTACATTCATATAATGAAATTCATGAGGCTTTGACTTCTCTAGAGCTAAAATAAGTATTCTATTTTCTTATCTGTATTGTATATGATTTAAGAACATGTGTCAGCTTACTACAGCGATTATATACTTTAGGAGCCATAATGCTTTATTGTCCACGGCTGTAGCAGATGAACAAGGTGACTAAACAAAATGAGCCGCGATTGGTAAAATGTGCTCGGTAAAGGGTTAAATAAAATCCCTACTAATCCTACCTATGGTTGAAAATATTCTCTATTTAATGGTTTATCTTAAGAATTCTGAGCAAAGTTAAAAGAGCTAAATTTGCATTACAACTGGGTATTATAGAACGTTTATCATAATGAAAGTCACCTCAAAAATCTCTTGAAACTGTTTCATTGTCTGTTTAATGTTATAAGATACTCAGGATACGATTGGTTGTCTTGGAAAATGACGAACATTTTTGGATTGTTGGGGTCGTCCAAAACAGAATTATAAAGTAAACCTGGATTTTTAGGATCATTTCTTGATGGTGGTGCCTTAAGCCCTTCCTTACCCCTAGTGTACTTTCCAACGAGAACTTTTGCGATGTACATCTTTGGCCGTGATCCAGAACACTGACGAAGAGAGTACCTTAAAGCATACCACGCATCTTTTTCAAAGTACACTCCGTTTCCGTACTTTACACCCGAATTATGAGCCTCAAAATAATCTTTTATCTTAATATATTCCGAGGATGGCGTAAGTCTGAAAAGATTGACAACTTGATCAGGAGGTCGTGTTGAACACTTTGATGAAACTGAAAAAATTAAATGAAATATATATGTATAATGATATTATAGGTGAAATTTTCGAAAAATGTTCTCCAGACATCATCCCTCAAGTATAACACATACTCTCTTACAAAGAGCAACACTTTTCCACACCCTCTCCTTTTTCATTAAAATTCACTTTTTCAATTAGAAAAAACCAATATTATCATAGAAAATATCAGTTATGTAGCCTGAAAGGAAACAAGAGTGTAAAATGACCATAAGAGAACACGTTTTCAAAATTTTTTAAAAATTGTAAAGTTCTACTTTTGAATATCACGTATAAATAAAAATACAAAGCAGAAGTCAAGCCAATCATCATTCTCAACAATGTCTTTGTTTCACCAGTTTTACTGTTAATGCCTTTGATTTGTGAGAAATCGATATTAAACACCTGTCCGTCATGCTCTTTTAAGAATACTGTTTCTTTACCTTTTATGGAACGTCATCAGAAGTGCTAATCTATGAGAGGTTAAACACCTCAATTATAGATAAAATTTCGACTTGTCAGTCACCATTACTTTTCGCCCTGCTATATCAACAATACCATGAATAATAAAAAATGTATTCGTTAAACAGAATGTATTGTAAAAGCAAGAAGTTAATCACAAAATAAGGTAAATATGCTCATTAGAAATCGTCCAAAAGCTTATTTCGATAAAAAAGTTCACTGTAAGGCTAAAACTCACTGTTCGAACGCTTAATTTACGGCGATTGTTCGTCAAGCATGTCCTTATATCGTCATTATTACTTAAACAGTCGGTGCTGCTTGCTCTCTGTGTTGGAGGTGGCACGTTAATTGTCCTCTGATCTCGTGATGATACGGGAGAAGAAAATCATGTCATCACTGTGCGAGCCTAACTAGCTCTTATCAAAGTAAAATGATTTGATATTTGTCCTTTATATTCACGAGGGTACACATCATTGCAGAAAGCTTATTTCAACGAAATGTTTACTGCCAAAGCTAAAAACCTACTGCTTGCTTATACTCACTTTACGTGGATTGTTCCTGAAGAAAGTCCTGACACCATCATTTAAACAGAGCTCACTGCTTACTCTATGAATTTGATGCTTTTCCCTCTGTTGTCGTCATGGAAAACGAGAGATCGAGATTCTGCAGGCAACAATTAAAGAGAGTAACATGATTGTCATTTATCATTTAAATGATTTGACTCATCTTCATGAAATAGAGAGAAACATTTGACATAAACCCGTTGTCTTGTGGGATTTTGGCGAAACATTAAGAGGAATCGCAGGGAATTGAAATAAATCTTGACAGTTTGCGGGGATTGAAACAGCTGTTTGCATTCCCGTCAGTATATATTTGATATGGAAGAGGATAATGAGAATTTGACATCTTTGTTGTGTTAATTCTGATAATTTTTTGGTGGGCGTACCTACTGATGGACTTTGATACAGTCCTGAAAGTTGATTAAAGTCATAATCATAAAACTCGACCTGTCTGACGAACATTACAGGCGAGTCTTTTGTTTTGAAGTCATTCAATTACTGCAAAAACGTGCAATTCAACATTAACTGGTTAACTTAGCCCTGAACAATACCAGATCAGATAAAGTAAATCTTAAATGGTCGACTGATAGTAATGGTGCTCTTGGTAACTTATAGTAATACTCTCCATAGTAATTCAGTAATATCCCTCTGTTAGTAATATTACTCACCCTTCATACTATAATGTATAGTAATATTCTTTATCCATAGTAATTGCGCCCCATACTCCTCCCTGAATCAGCATTCATCAATAGCTGATTAAAATGGAGGCTCAAAGTTGATAATCAGTTAAAATAAAACTTACTGTATATTGTACACTAATATTGTCCTTTGTTTTTCGCTTTTCTTCTTTTAAAGAACGCCGAAACAACATGCTGGTGCTCAAAATGTGTGGGAATATACATATTTCAACTCGCAACAGGGCAACTCAGGGAGGCTCTAAGAAGTTGAAGCGGTCGATGAAAAACGCAGGTTGTGTGACATGCAAGCTTGGGGTGTGCTTCTACATACAAATATTTTGATCGCCTACAGAAAAAACAATAAAAGTATCAAATGTTCGGAAATTGAAATTCGTGATCTAAATTGTTCCGATATTATGTTCGCATTTGATATGGCCATACGTTAACAAGATGCTCTTCAATTTGAACAATTCGCTTCCTTGTTACTTTTACAATGTCGGTTTCCTTTGGCTTTGGCGTATATAATACGGCTAACCTGACGTTTATTCCTCATTTGACTCTGAAGATGACTACCGCTAAGGTTATCGAAACGTGAGTCAACAACAACAAAAACAGTCCTTCTCAGGACTATACCAACCTGGACAATCTACATTTACAAACATGTAACGATACTCGCGGGTTCAAACCATTTACTTTATAAAGAAATAAATAATGCCAATGATCTGAAATTGATATAACATGACCAAACTTGCAGATTGGCCCGAACTTATGCTATACCGGTCTACTCTGCCATTCATGGATTTTTTGTGATGTTCTTGAGGCGATAGTTCAGTACACTCACCAAAAGTATGAAATCGATCATCCAAAAAATCAATGAGATGTTAATTTATATTATAACTATCGTTACACCAGAGTCGAAAATTCAGTCTGCAAGCCATAAAATTCGTATGTCATAAAGTTAGTGTCATCTTCTCGCGAGAACAATGAATGAAGTTCTTGTGTTTCTCCCCAAAAGTGAGAAAATATAAAATAGCGAGACAAGAAAAATACGCTACAAGCTTTAGCTTTGACACTGCTTCAAATGACGATTTGGAAAAGTTTGTCCATTCGCCCAGATTCAGAAAGTCAATATTTTTTTATCATCTATATTACATGGGCTTTGTGAGTTTGATCGGAATATATTTCGTTCAAATTTCATTGACAAAATTCCACCAAAACCTTTCATGACTTCTTTATGCACAGGAAGGTAAAGACCTATTTGTCTTTCAGTCGTGTTTACAAAAATAGGACGAGTAACTCCTTATAAACAACGCTGCACGCACACGATAATAAAAAAATATCAAACCTCCTTTTGCTCTTTCCCACAAATAAACAAGTGTTAATTACACACTTATGGTTTCCATCGAAAGTCCGTGTGATGTCAACATCTCGCGTACTGAGGAAACAAACAAATGCGTTGGAGGACGGAAAGTGGTTTTTCATTGCGAGTCCTTGTCATGGTGTTTGCGGTTTTACAACTGCACGCAGCTTCTTCTATAAACCATTTTTTATCAAGGTTCGTTTTCCAAATTACATGCGTATGCTAAAATTCAAAAGCAGCTAGGCGCCAAACACCGAAATAAACTGCAAGTATTCCAAGTATTTGCTTATTTTGATTAATTTGAATGGATGAACCATTTTGAACAACAAATACATTTCGTGGGACTTTTGCCATTTGACACTTTTGTTGATTCAGTAATGTGGCGTAAGCAGATCAAAACCTCGCAAATTTTCACAGGTCGGTTTGGGCTTGATTGGCAGAGCGTCGTATTCTTCACGCGACGGCGTGTGCCTGTATGGCGATAAGAAATTCCTCAACTATCGTTTCATTACCATGGGACTCTGCCCATGGTAATGAAACCATTCGCCCTTTTTTTTAAACAGTAAAATAGAACAGACCTTTCATGTCTGCGTGCACGTCGCAAATGACGTAACAATGTATCACACGTGAAAACAGTGCATGGAAATGGTCGTCCGTGACTCAAATCTTTCAGGTCCGTACGTCTACGTTTGCACTCGACGCGTGATGGAAATATTTCACGGAAATATGAAAAGAGTGCGCTTAATTACTTTGCTATGCATGTGACAAAGGCCCGGAAATATTTTGCTACATGATAGTAAAACATTGACGCGTCCTTGCAACGCGTGAAGAGGAGCTTCGGATTTGTTTCTTTCACAACGTTTTGGCACAAGGTATAGCATTTGCTTCAATTTCCCACTTACTTGCGTGTGTCCATTCTGAGAAAGGAAGGAACTGTGTACAGTTGCAAACGTCTTCCACAACAGTTTTTTATATGTGTAGAAAATAAATGAATCGTGCACTTAAACATGCAAGTAGCCCCAGAAACTCCAAAACAAACTCCAAGATTATGTCAAGTTCACCTGTGGATGAAAACAGTACGAAAGCTGAAATGAATGCTTCTAGTTGTTGTGCCAACGCAGCGAAATGCCAACTTTTTCCTCACGTGGAGAGGGGAGGTTTCGGCGATAAAAAACAGTCTTCCTTAAACTGTCAACAAGAGACAATCGAGTGTTATTACGCGTACTCATAATATATGAGTCAATGCGCGACAACCTATAGCACAGTAGGAATGACGTCACATAAACAGAATGTTTCTTGGCTTCATTAGAACGCGTGGGTAGAAGGCAATTCATCAGCTATGTACCACCACGTATAAAGGGATCTCAAGTGCAAATTACCTTCAAACATATTATTACTCAGAACAAGATCAAACTACGGGATAAGAAGAATGTTATTTACGACTTTAAAAAGACGGGATTCTCTCCAAAGAAGCATTTTCAATCGTCTTATAAACAATGTTAACAAAAGAAAGGAGGAAGGCGATAAAATTTCGCGACGTTTAAAGAAAGTTGATAGAAAAGCGCGGAGCCTACCTTGCGAGTCGGAGCTTGAAAAGTACATTGGACCGCTTGACGATTGCCTTGTTAAAAACGCAGAAATTGCAAAACGAAGACGAACGAACACGAGGCGATATTCCGCACAACTCGAGGCGTTAGACAAACAAATTGTCGAAGAAGATGTAATGTTAGAGAAGTCAAACAGTTCATCGAAAAATTTCGTTTCAAAAAACACACCGTTGAGCTCGGTACGCTGCATGTGGTGCGAACCGCTTCTACATTTTCAACTCGACCAAGCAAATCATCGAGAGGACGAGGTGGATGAACTCACACAAGAGGAAACTTACATAGACGAGAACGGTATCTACACTACCGTACTCTGTTTTACGGAAATTTGAAACGGCATTTTAGTTTCGAGTTGGCTAGCTAGCATATAGCGTCAGTGAAGGCAAATACGGCGTTTTGGTTCCCGGTTCAGAACGAGAGATCATTTGGTTCACTAAATGCAACTAACATTAACTCAGTAATTGCTTTATGAGAAGAAATTCAACGCAAAAACACGTATCTAACAACATCCATCTCAGAAAAAGTCATGAAGTATTCTTGACGCATTTTATAAATAATGCACTTACAACAGTTCATGTATAGTCATATATATTATTAAACTGTTACGCATCTTCACTTCAACTCGACGCAGTTTTCCCTAACGAGGGCGTTTGAACCATTTATTCAATGTATAGTTCCCACGCACAACGAAATGAACTAAACACTTACAAGAAGTTTCGGCTTAAACGACCTTAAACTAATCATTCCTAATCATGTAAAGAGATAAGTTTCGGAATGTAAAGACGAGCAAGGTGTATATATTTTGTACTAGTAGGTAAAAATAAACATTCCTATTGTCATGTAAACAAATAGCGCGTGCTTTTTTTTCTCATTAAATCCAATTTGAGAGAACTAATTATGTGCTTAATTATAATTGCGATCGCGAAATAACATTGTGATCAGGAATAGCCAAGCGCGTTTGAAGATGCGAGGGAATTTTTGGAGCTATACAAAAGAGATATCAGGAAAGTTAGACTTCTGCAAGCAATTTTAATCAGGGTTTGCCTTCCGTGATGAATAAACATAGCCATATTGTCGCACACGAACGATTCTAGCTATGGCCATAATCTCGTATTATATTGTCAACACCTGTCCCTCCGCATCATCCTGTGTTAGCCGAAAGGAAAATGAAAGCGTTCCCGCCTCCTCACGCCCACGTTTTCGAATAGGGATCGACTTTCTACACAATAGAAGTTTTCCTTATACAAAACTACACTTTTCGTGAAATACGTGTCCGAAAATAAACATATAAACAAACACAGTAAATACACCCTTTTTTCTAAAATGTTCGAGTTTTCGCACAAACCCCTCCTTCAATTAACAAGTTAGGCATTATTAGCAAGTAATGCAAAGCAGTGCATTACAACGACAACCAGTGCTCAATTTTGGGTTTATATTACTTTACAAAATTTTCGACAGAAACTAATACAAAACACGATTTTTTCAGTAGTTTTGAGGAAAATTATACCACGCTATTTAGTCGAGCAAATTTAATAGCTACCGCGCCTTAAGTGGAGCAGCTTAAGTCTTCAGCCCCCCGATATTGTGAGCCAAAATGACGCCCCCCTGCAATTGTCTCGCAAAGATCCCAATATCAATCGTCAAAGAAGAGAAGACTTTAGCGTCCTCTTCCCAGTTTTATACAATTTACAAAAAAAAAACAAGTTTGTATTTCAACAGTATTTAGTATTTACAAGAAGCGACATACGTAACATAAGACATCACTTTATTACTTATTAACTTCCTCGAGGTTAGCACTTTCTTGAACTTCTTCATGGCTATCTTCTAGAATCCTATCGATTTCTTCTTTGGAAAGAACGCAGGAAACCTCGGGAATAGCACTCCTCATTTTCACAGACCATTCCTTCGTGTTCTTTTGAACTTCTTTAACACGATTCTATGCGAGGAAAGCAAGTTCAACTCTTTTACGATTTGGCATTTCAATAAAACCACGAGTTTTTAATTCATTACTACACAACAAAATACAACGCATGCGTCGATTGGTTTGCTTAAGTTTCATTAGGGAGCTTTAGCAAAGAGTACGAAATACGTCATTTTGGCGCGAAAACATTGTTGTGACATCAACAACTCGTAGCCGTCATCAATCTGAGTACGATATCTATGATGTCTTTTAAAGAAAAGAAAGTAGGTATATTTATTTATTGTGCAAGAACTTAGTTTACAATACTATTTTTGACCTTCCAAGCTTTATTTCAGTATCTTTTTATGAACGCAGGTTTACAATAAAAACGAAAATACGACCTGCAAAACTTCCATGTATCTGGGACGCAAAGTGAATTATAAAAAGACAATAAAGTAATGCAAACATACAATCCATAAAAGGTAGAATAATGAAGATTTTTCTCTCTAAACAGTCCTATACCCTCGCTAAATCAGAATTACGAATTCATCGATATTATTATTAACAAATAGAGCCGTAGCTGCTTCTCAAAATGCGGTGTTTATCACAGTAAAAAGCTCGTTCTGTTGTTTACGGCTAAAACAATCATTTGACGACGCGACAACGACTACGAACTTCCTCGTGCCATTCCCTTACACGGTCAAACTTCGTACACGTAGTCGTACTCTTGCTAAAGCTCGCTATTAAGTTTAAGATTTTAAGTTTAAGTTGAGCAGATTAAGTTCTCATTAGTCTGTGCAAACCAATCTGTGATCAATCAATTAAACAAATTAAAGAGACTTTTGCAAATCGATCATGAATACATTAATGGGGGAGAGGAGGGTTAAAACATTTCCTTGAAATTTTGTTTGGCATTATTGTTATTTTATAAAATAAAAGATTTTTTCCATGTTTGCACAGGTTTATGCAAACCTCAGAGACGTTTGTAAAAACTCTCGAGCAGGTTCAAACACGGCAAATATCTTTTATGATAAATAGAGGTGAAAAAAACGTTACCTCTATTATAGCCTTGTGTTTCAGAACACGCTCACACCCATTACGTAAAAATGATTTTAAAGATTCTTCTTCACGCTTCAACTCTGCTTCTGTTGATTTTAATCTTTACATAATTGAGGTCACATAAAAAAAATGAAAATATCATGATTATTTGAAGTGAAATTTATGATGAAATCCCGTAACAGTCATAATGAAACATGCTCATAATTACTTTCTCCTCAAAGTACCTTTCTTTGGCATCCTCGAGTTTCTTTCTTTTTCCTGACATTTCTGTTTGATTATCCAATCTCAATCGATCTATCAGATTACGCTGATCTTCAATTCCATCGGACAAAATTTTTAATTCTTCGTCGTATTGCTGAGAAGAATCAATGATCAACATTCACGTAGAGATAAAGTTTAGAAAGTTTCGATGCACGATAAACGAGAAGTAGCCAGATTTTGCTATACAGCAAGTATTTCAGGCAGACGTTAATTTTCAAAGGTAAACAGTTGGAAAATCTTGTACCGAATTGAAAATTATACGAAAAACATTTTCCGAAAGTGGATTACTTTGGAATACGCGATCAAAAAATGTAGACAAATGGAACGCCAAAAATGTTTCAAAAACCGATCAAAGCGCCACATTCCATCGGAAGTGACGCTTGCCACATAATACTTAATGTCATTATAAACCGTGTTCGTGTGCAAGTTCATGTACACAGTGCGTACCTATTCTTTAGTTTAGATTTAACGAGTTTTCAAAACAATAAATTTGCTAAACACTCCTGCCGGCATTTATATTTTCCCGCTAAAGTTTTCGTCATTATTGAAGAGCAACGCAGACATTCAAACATCAATTTTCAACGTCAAAAACTGCAGTCGAAAAGCGAAAAATATTAAGCGATTCACTGATAAAGAACTCTTCCCGAAAAACCACTATTTAAGTTCGGATCATCTGCCTGGTAAATACCATGAATATGGCAATTTATTTTTCTTTGTTGTAGCTCAGAATTGTAAATGAACAGTAAAACGGCTATAGCTTTAGTATTGACCTAACATACGAAATACAACAACGCCTTTGGTAACTCCCACTAACTAGCGCTGTGTGCTTGAGCCGGTGTTTTGATGTTTTTCCAAACTCAAACAAAAAATACAGCAAACATGCGAAGTTATTGTTGATGAAAAAGCAAAAACTTCAAAAAAATCGAGTATTTTATGTATTAAAAATAACATGACGCCATTGTTGCATTGGTAACAAGATAGTCCAAGAATGACTATTTTTTACTATAAATCGATGGTGAGCCAGGCCGCAATATCTTCTTCATCATCAAAGACGTCAAAGCGAGTTACAGAGAAACGGTATCCTTCGAAAATTCCGGCAAATAAACTTTCTAACGGAGCCTGTTTTAACAGCAGTCGGAGCCGGATTTTGCTTGGCCGGAGCGCGAGGTGAAAACGCGGAGTTTTACACAGTAAGACCGCTAAATCAAACAAATTTTCGTTTCGTCTAACAGTTCGAGTTATCGGGGTCTACTGTATTTGTAGAAACAGACAGTTAGGAGAAACACTTCCTTACTCATAAACACACCTGTATGTTCCAGGCCAATTCTTTGTCCACGGTGGCAGTCTTATCATTCGACAATTGTATATCATATTGCTTTTCGCTTATTTGCTCCTGCACCTATGATTATTAAATGTTACGATTTTTTCATAAAATCCAGCCAACTTCATGAACAATATGAAAAATAAAGAAGCATGAACACATATATTGACAAGAATACCAAGTCAAGTTTTTCCTTAAGCTTCAATGTGTCTGCGTCGTAGCGAAACGTTTCCTCCGTAATCTGCTGCTTGAAACGCGTCAATTTGGGCTGAAAAAAAATCCATGGATGGTCATTCGCCTCTTCCTCGATGACGAAAGAACGGAAACATTTCGTAATGGCCAATGAACGGCGAGCAGATCTAGACATGAGATCGCCCGCCGTTAGCAGGCTGTTTTGGTTACCCCAAAAACCAATTTTGGTTACTCAAAAACCACAGTAACGAGTTTTACGCTAATTTTACATAGAGATTTCAGACCTCTTACCTCTAAATTTCTAATAGGTATTTAGTACCTAGATATTGTTGAAAAGAAACCAAAACCAAAATTTCATTGAAACCAATTCAAAGCAAACATACTAAGCTATAAAAACATTGCTGTAGTTCAACAACGTACATGTCTACACCACTGAATTAAATATATCAATCGTATAATTCTACTGCACGTGTAAGCCACGTGTTACCACAAAATCTCTCGCAAAAATCGCGTCAGGTTATGGCAAAGTTCCTTTGCGGTAACGCAGCGGTAATATGGGTTTTACCACAATTCCGGAAAGCCAGGTCAGCACACCGCAGTATTTAGACAACATGACACAGGAAGAAGCATGCCATTATTAGAGATGTACGTTTGCAGAAGAAACAGCTTAATTTTTTTCTTATTATTTTAACCTAATATGTAATTGATATAATCAGGTGTAGACATTCCGAAGAAGCTGGTTTGAGGACGAACTCTAATTCCAGTGCACGCAGCCTGGCTTTTGATCGCGTCAAACCGTCCACTCGCGTAAGTACAATGTAATTGCAATATTGACAAACCGTTAAATGACCTCGAACATCCAACGACAATCTACCACCGTTCAACTGCAGCTCGTAATCATTGCCACAGGCATTTTCAGCTGAGCTCGGGATCAACTTTAATTTACGACCTTTCTCGTTGTAATCTTTAATTTTTGCAAGAACCTGTCAAAAGGCAAAACGAACAGTCGTGAGACCATCACGAAACAACTCATATCAAACAGAGAAAACAAAAAGGACAAAGAATCTGTTTTAAGCCGTGTCCCAGTATGGACGGAGTGATGTTGCTGGGAGGGAGCAATAATTTTTAAAGACTAAAATGCTTGCCTCAATTAATAGATATGAAACCTGCATAATGTACACCTTCTGTCGTTCTTAACTATGACTATTTGATAGAGTTCTGCACTATTACGTTGTTAAACCTTGACTGTTTTGCAACTTTTGTTCTGGATAGAATGTGATGGGAAATCTCATGCTATAGGAGAAGGCACCTCGATATTAACCCTACATAAATTTCCCGCCAGTGGTTGTTGTCAGTAGATTTCAAATATACCTGCTCGTATCTGCGCGCATGATTCATTTCGGTCTCCCATATTTCTTGATCCAGCGTATCTCTTCTTTCATCGAGTTTTTCTAAAATTCTCCTTTGCTCGCCAGCTTTATGTTTCATGCGTTGCACATCGGCCGCACTAAGTTCTTGCTTTGCAAGCACTTTCTAAAAATTCCAACGAGAGAACGAAAACCTTCTTAATTCATACGATAAAAGCCTGCAATACAGTAAAAGATAAGATTATTGATCAACTGTGCAAGACCTCCAGCTGCTCTTTCTCTCTTGATGTTGCTGTGTACTCCAGATCTAAGATATCAAACTTCGGTCAGTCGATATATTTTGTCAGAAGAAAATAAGTACTATACCCTTAGCCTTCGCCTAATTTGCAAATGCTTTTTCATGGACTTATACATGGACGCTAATATAGCGGGAGAGGGGGAGGCAGAAGTATTGCATGGACTATATTATACGTACGTACGTACTGAAGTGATCTATAAACATTACACAAGTAAATGGGCTTATCTACGGGTCAGCGTATACGCGGTAGGGCTTTTCTGTGAGAGTGAGTTGAGTTTCACGATTGGGGTGACCTAACTGGACATACTCAGGATAGGGCTTGTACATGGGAGGGTAGTTCACCGTACGCAAGTGTAAGAGGATGCCTCAAGATACCACACTGCACTTACTGAGATCATTCAATTCTTCTTCGTTCTGAATTTTTCTTTCCTCAAGTTTGAGACGATGCTTCTCGAGATCAGTGATGTAGGTCTCGAATTTAGTCCTAAGAATCGATAACATTCCTAGTACATGTTTCCACAAATTAATACAACGTAGATGGTGGAAGCAAGATCACGGTAAATTTTCTCTTACTTGTCGAGCTCTAGTGTTCTCTTCTGTTCCACTAATGCTTCAAGCTTTGACTAGGTTAAGTATGAATATGTTAAGACTGTTAGCTACACATCTATCAACTGTGAAAAGATCGAGATATAAGGGAGGTAAGAAGGGGGAGGGTAATTTCAAAGAGAATATGAAATACAAAAGTATGTATTTATAAAATTGGAAGCGACACCAACCAAAAGGATGCATGACAAATTTCAAACACGTAGCTCACACGTAGCTCAAGATGCACCTTTAAAGGGATGAACGTGTATGGGAACATTTGTGGAAAATCCTTTAAATTAATTTTGCACAAATGAAGCTCCGTGCAAGAAAAATCACAGTACGAGTTTTGGCCGAATAATCTGAATGAAAATCGGAAAACCGAGCCATTCCTAGGATCGAGCCAAATTATGAGGTCATTAATAGAACACATGCGACAACCAAATCGCGCAATTGTTGCCAGAACTTTGTCACAGTAATTTTTCACAGTAAAGTTTTGGCTCTGAACAATTATATGAGCGATTCTCCAAAATGTTCAAACATGTACGTAAAAGAACCCAACCGTTTGCGATTATTTTGCTCACACTCACATTTAGAAACAAGCAATTTGAAGTTCTCAAAATTTCACGACACAATATCTTTCCTACCGGTTCACTTTCAAGTCTCGCCAGTTCTTCCTCCAGTAGCTTGTTTTCGTGACTCAGCTCTTCGTTTTCTGGAATATGAAAATCATATAATTGCACATTACAAAGTGACGATGCACATAATTTTTCAACAATACACATTTACCTGCAATAAGTGGAGCATTCTTGTTTCCTACATTAATAGAAACAGATACATGCATAAATTTTGTAGGTCACTACCAAAGGTTACAGGAATTGATGCAATGACAACTTCACTCACTCAGTTCTTCATATAGTGCTTCTGTGTACTCATCCAGATTATCTAAGTCTTGACCGTAAATAAACGCTTCGTACGCTTTCTCAAGGTAATCAAAATACAACTGCGGTAACAAGACAAAGGTGTACATAGTGAGACATTAACAGTGGCAGAAACATCTGCTGAATACAGAGATGGATCTGGAATGATTTAGTAGTGGTTGCTTTGGTTTAGATTAGATTTTCTGAAGATACTTTGCAGGTTTTGCCCTATCATGTGAGACTTTTACACTTCGCTTAATTGTTTGGTATATTTATACATTTCATTAGGAAATCAAGCCTCCACATCCCATATATCTATGACTGTCACAGCCATATCAAACTAGGTACATTTGAAACATATGTTATCACATGTTATAGCATTCAGACTGCAAAGACATTTTGTTAGAGATAAGAACTTACCTTGTCCTCATCATTCATGGGAAACAGACATTCGTCGATGGTGTCATTAACATTTTGAGCCAACTGAAAAAAAAAGAAGAAAAGGAAATCACGCTTTAAAATGTTTGGGCAAACTCATCAATTTGCAATTTCAGTTTGTACAAAATTCAACCTTGACAAGTTCCATAAGCCAGTGAAGTGCACCAAGGAGCACTGGCCATGTGTGAGGTGAGCCAACATTGGATAATGATGTTTTATGAATGGTGAAGGGGTAACCAAGACTCTTGAATATTTTCGGTACTTCCTCTTCCGGTTTCTTTTCTATTAGTTTTTTATACGTGTCCGTTGGACTGATATGGCTATAAAGGAACTGTAAAATACATATGGATAAGTAAATTGCAAAGTTCATAGAGATTTCAAGCTCGGTAGGTCACAAACATTGTGTGAATTATGTTATGCATTGATTACTAGAATGAAATTGGAATATTTGTCATATGATAGCAATATGAGGTTTTATATCAATGCTGCATCATATTAATGCTGTATTTGTTTTGATTGGACACTCAGAAGCTGCATATAAATACTAGTATCAATTTATTGTGAGACAGGATGTACATTTTTCCAGAAAAAATATGAATATTTTTTCTCAACTAATACACACACTGGTCACCAAAGTGAAATGATTCAACAGAGATCAACATACTAACGGAAAATACTTTCAGGAACTCTTTGCTCGTTGGAATCGTCATTGTCTTCATGGAGATTGGATGCTGGTAATCGTTGACCGAAAGAAACTGAACAGACAAAAAACAATTCAAAAAATTACTTTTACCATAATGCCAACATTTTAGCAAATACCTGCAATATGTCTTGTATTTCTTGATGCTGATAAGCTGGAAGATAAATGGCAATACAAGTAACTTAACTGATGAAAATTGCTGTTTGTTAAATCAAAGATAAAGCATAATCTCACATTTATCACTAAGTGGTCTTGAGTCTTTTATTTGCATATACGATTCACGTCCATATTGACTTGATTTTCTGCTACAATTCAAATGAAAAAAGCACATATAACTCCCATAGTATTCACAAGTAAAAGTTCCTGTAGCACCAAGAGATAGTAAGCAAACAAAACAAATAGTTATGTTAACAACGTACTAAACTGCTAATATACGTTATGGTACAAATATTTTAAATCCCATAAAGGAAACCTGCTAGCTCCAAAAGATGTTTTCGGACGCGATATGCCAGACGACCTCGCACCAGTATTAGAAAGACGACCGCCCTGACTAATCGACGATCTAGATTGCTTTTCTTTGGTCGGAATTCGGCTTCTATTGCCCTGATTTGTCGATCCAGAAGTTGTTCTCCTCATTTTATGCATTTTTTGTATGATCCACTGAAGTAAAAAGCCAGATTACAGTCCCTCACGTACCTCGATAAACAGAAATTTCAAATTTCAAAATGCCGCTCTTTTTATTTAAATAAGTTGTCGTCACCAGGCCACGACCAGGCCTTTGCTTGCTCGGAGTCTCGGACGTTGGAAGAAGTCAAGGTCAGGGCAAGGTGTCAAGTGGCAATATGGTGGCAGCAAGTGCATTGTTTTGTGTTCTTCAGTTATTGATATTCACAAGTTTCAGTTTAAACTACAGATCCAAGAAAGAAAGTATAGTTATTTTTTAATCTTGAGTGTGAGTTTACCATTTTACACACTACAATGCTATCAAACTTCACGATGTACAACACCAATTATCTTAAAGAGTAACAATCCACCGAACACCACGATGCACAACACCATCCTACAAACAACCAAACTAACATAAACCACGATGTTGAACATCATTCTACAGCCATTAAACTACCAAACACCACAAAATTTGATAACTACCACCCCTGGAAGAACACATCTCCAACATTTTTCTTTAAAATAAAGTCAAGACTCAGTAAAACAGAAAACTGGACTGAGAAGGCCGAAGCCCAATGTTTACAAGACGTTCAGAAAACATACACATGGCCATGTTTTTCCTATAGCAATTATATCAACAATAGCAACCTCATGAATATTTTAGAAGTGACGAGTCAAATTTTGTAATTAAATTGGATGGTAAGCCGCACGAACACACTTTTTTTCTTTTTAGAATAACCTCAAATTAACTTATACCAAAATTTAAAAAAATCTTAATACAGGAAACGAAACATAGTTTCGAAGACAAGCGACAAAGTAGAAACCTCCCTATTTCTTCCTTTTAAATTAACGAGTGCAGTAATACTGAGCTGTATGTCTTTATTCTTAACGCAGATAGTAAAAATCATGATGACAAAAATACTGATTTCGGTTAGAATGGATCATGAATGAAGGAAGAACAATAATTGGGTGAGCTCGTATTCATATATGCTTGAAATGCCGTACCACAGACACCCCTCCACCAATTATCGATCATCCTATACACCCATGGAATGGAGAACTCTCTCTTTTCACTGGGAGTAAAGATATTATACATGCATGAAAAACACTCCGTGAGCTTACAATGTCAACAATTTATTTCGAAAGTGAACGTGTGTGTGTAGTTCAAACATTGACCACATAGAAAACTAAGATCTTCACTTTTATTTTTACAACTTGATTGAGGCATTCCAAAAACCTGATGGTTGTATCATGTTTTGAACATTTTTTATCCTTGAAACTTCTCTAAGAATCAATTAAGTGAAGTGCCAAGAAAAGCGATGATGAAAAAGAACGTTCAATGTCTACCCTAGCAGGAGTTCTTATAAATTCATCAGCGTTCATGCATGATATTGATTGTTGCGGCTTTCTGCGAGATATTTGAGGTTCTAGACCCAGCTGCAGCAGTTATAATTTGATAATTATAAATATTACTTCTCTAAGAGGCACGGTTTGCGGCTTTCAATGAAACCATCGCAATGTATTATTACATGGAACAAACTTTCTCATCTCGTTTCCAAAAGAAAAGACAAGCAAGATGAAGAAGACACTGAGTTTCGTGAGTTTGACGTATTTAATGGCCATTCAAGGCTATTATCAAGGTGCACATATCTTTTTCACTGATATTCGCGATTGCTAATAAATTTTACATTGCCATGCATGGCCCTAGCGTGGCTCTACTTTTTTATCTTAATTTGTTGGTAAAACGCTCTTTATTCTGCTATATTGCTGCTGATCTCATTTCTGGATAAAAAATTCATCGATCTTTACAGCCGGAATGATTTTTTCAGAGAGAAAAAGTTACGACAATACATTTCACGCCATTTCATAGCTTTTTGTCTTCTGTATCGGTAATGTTAACTATAGGTCTCTAATGCTTGCAATGACAAATATAGCAAAATAAAGAAGCCAAGCGAAAATAAATCCTAAATAAGTGCGTATTTTATTTAGAGGAAAGATAGCTTTTTCAGATATTCATATACTCCTAGGAAGGGATGCCCGATTTAAGAAATGATATATACTGAAATTAGCGCGCTTGATACAGTAAACTGGAAAGACAAAAACATAAAATGTTTAACAGAAATTCGTTATCCTTGACCGAGTATATTCTGTTTTAGCTGCAAGAGATTTTTCCGTTTTTGAAATATTCTCTGATATTGCATGCTAAGTCAATTGCATTTAATGGCTTTCAAAATGTGACCAAAATTCAACTAGATGATATCCATTCCTTTTCTCTATGCACCCTAGAGTTTTTTTTTTTGAAGTTTCTACATAAATTGCTAGCTGCAGGCGGTGGGCTTGTGGTCGTAATTCTATAAAAAGTCTTAAGGATTCAATGTCAGTGATAAATGCCAACTGGCACGTGTACTAATGAAAGTTGGCAATGAAAAACTCGAAAGTGCTTGGAAGTTTTGATTCTACTGCTTTTATCATATTGTCGAATGTATAATGCTGAAACAAGTTCGAAAGCTTTCCATTGATAAAACAAAGTTTTTTACTCGGATTTGTAGCTATTTTCTGCATCAGCATCAACGCTTGTTGATCTATAAATACGCCAATTGAAGATCATTCTACATGCTTAATGACAGCATATCCTTTGTATGTGGCATATTCGATGGACTTCGTAAATAGCACATTTATGCAAGCACTTACTGCGTGCGTGTGCCCTTGAAAGAAAGTTTTTCAAAAACGTCAGATAATACAAAATCATCATGCTTGTAATAGTTCACTAGAAAGTATACCAAAATGCTTATCCAGTTTCTTCAAAACTTTTCAACAAAGGTAAAGTTGACGCTGAAGTGCCCAAAATAACTGTGTATAAATCGCCTCCGAAATCAATACAAGCTTTGACTGGAACGGACGTCGTATTTGAGTGGAATTTTCGAATTTCTCAAGTCCAAAAAACACTCAAAGCAATTTCGTGGTACAAGATCATCGCGCGAAATAACTGGCGGAATGAGCGAAAACTTATACAGCGATTTCTCGACAAAACGACTTCCAAAACATGCATTCATCCCAGGTTATCTTCAGAACATAAACAGCGTATAAGGTGTATGTTTTCTAAGAGTAACCAAATGTGGACTACGCATTGTCGTCTGAGAAGTACGATGATGTCGGATGGAGCTGAATACGGTTTGTCTGTCGAGTTTAATGACAGCAAAATATTGAAGGGATTTAATACGTCGTTCCTGGCTCTTGTGGGTATGTTCGAAAAAAAACATTTCTCTGTTTCTCACAAGTTCCAAAAAAAGATACGACTTTCTATCCGGTGGAAAAAAAACAACTTTCAAGCTTTCAAAAACGGTGCTCGTTGCAAGTGAGGAGCTGTTGTAGCTTGAGACTGCGAAGCCTGTTCAAAATTGCGTGTAGAAAAATAGCACAAGGACTTACCCTATACAATGTGGGACGCTCAATTTTACCCAAAAAAATTCTTGTCCGTGGAAAAAGGGAAAAAATGTAACCCATCCACCCCTCTCCAAAACATTATTTTTTCCCCACAGTCCCTATGATGTACTGTTTGTTTCGAAAGTTGTTCGCACATGAAAGTCGATTTTCATTTTCACACCCAGAAAATATTACAAAAAGTTAACTGTATTTAATGACTCTCCGACGACGTAAATTTATAGATTTGAAACTAGATACGAAGAAATCTGATCACGAAGTAAAGTCTCTTGTGAACAAAACGGTTGTCCTCACTTGCGCGTTTGAAAGAGAAAGAGTTATCGCAACGCATTACGAATGGACGGCATTTGGTGGAACGAAAGATCTAACAAACAAACGCAGCTTGTCATACGGAGGAAAAAAGACCTCCTACACATTTATACCAACCTCGGCGAGAGATTTTGGACAGTACGAGTGCACCATACGGACAGATAACACCAAAATCCAACACGAAATTATCTTGAAGCAATTGCGTAAGTTATCAGGAGCGTATCTCAGGCAGGGAAAGTGGGTATTCGCCCTCCCCCTTATGAAAATTTGTAATCGACAGCCCTATAAGCTTCTTTTGCGATCTCCCCCCCCCCAACTTTTTTCCATAAATCTTGCCTACCCCCTTGTTTATGATAAATGAGTTTTGAAAGCTATTTTTCAGTTATATAATTTAGTCTGCTTTCATGTTCAGTGACTCCTTCCTGTTGTAAATTTGCAGGTTTTGTACTTTACAGCTACCTAGGAAATATCTTGAGTTAGCGCATGTGTTGTGCGTTTTGTTTTCATTCAACTTTCATGAACAGCGGATGACTTTTCGTTTATCAGCCATACTAAAGCACCTTACTTGTGCATATATGTAGTATAATAACTAAATGCATTATTTTGCATCTTGTTCAGACTATTGCCTCTACAGGGTGGCTCAGAAAAATTGCTCATCTTTGAAATCACCCGACATTAGCATGATTTGGGAATTATTCATTTCCATGGAATTAAATTGTGCGTAAACGCATTTGAAATGCATTTTATGCATGGATTTACAATGGACAATAGACGCACTTCATATGTATAATTTATTTCAATTGCATTTACAAGTCTTTGAAGATCAAGGCAAATTATGAACGTCTGCTGATTTCAAAGATGAGCAGTTTTTTGAGGCTCCTTCATATTCAACAAGAGCAGTATCTGCAGTTGCATGCAAGATGAAACGTGATAGAGCATTTTAAGCATCACTTACAATTTGTCATTTATTGCTACTAAAAGTGGAAAAGGAAACTACTTTTAAAAAACCTTTATTGATTATTTTCTAATGAAATATTAGTAACACGGGAATTATTTTCCTGCAAGAAGAACAGTTAATTTTTCTCATGTAATGTACAGATAATCCGCAGATCAAATTTCAGGCTAGCCCACTATGGCAAGACGTTTGGTTTTTAAATATAATATTCATTCTTTGATAGATTATCCCGGACCTCCACAAGGTATGCGACTACAAAAAACAAATGGAGGCAGATCATTCCAACTTTTTTGGAATCCTCCTAAATTCGATGGCGGGACGAGGATAATTGGCTACGATGTTATCGTTACTCCCGAAAAGCAAATTTTTACATCACAGTCTACAGAGCATTTGTCGGTTGGAGTTAAAGTTCGCGATCACGGAAACTATACAATACAAGTATGTTCTTTGAACGAAGTAGGGAGAAACCAAACCTCGTGCTCAAGTCCACATAAAATAACGATAGGTCTGTATGTATTTTGTACGCAAGTATATAGCCAATTGAACGTAATGTGTCAATTCTTCTAAATTTGCTTTGGTGTGCAAAGTATTTGGTGTGCAAAGACAAACGCCTGAAGCTTATCTGTTTCGACCTACTATAGTGCCTACACTGCATGAAGGTAGCTGAGACAAAAATTTAACATTTTTGAAAATCAAAGATTGTTCAATTATATTGGGAGGAGAAAAACTCGATTAAACAATCATGCAAGTGTAATTTGCCAGATAAATACCGTTGTTTGGTTACGATGTTTTTATGTTTTTTGTAATTCGTAGGGTTGGGTAACTTGTGTTACGTAAAAAATAATTGATTATGGAAAATATTTGAATGTCTCAAATGAAGGTGTGTTGAAATCCGAAGCAAAACGTTTTTTAGACCAGCTAAAAGGAGCTCAGGAGAAGACAATACACAAATCTGTTGTTATGATGCCACTCGCGATTTTTTTGATGGTTTCTTTGTGTTGAAGATCATAGGAACGATGTCAGAAAAATCACAGCGGATTATGACTGTGCTTCTATACCAGCAAAGCGAACGTTGGAACAGCGATAGATAAGTTCATTCTTCTCCTCTTTTGTTTCTCGATATCAGTTGTGCATATTTATTTGTAACACCTAGGGAAGTCATGATGTGTTTGATTATATTAAAATACAATAATACGATGTCCATATACAATTTCTAAAGACGATTCTGATACTCCCACAGTCAAATAATTTTTTGTTGTTAATTTCTGTGTATTTGGTGGGTAAGACCAACACTTGGGTTTTGCGTATTCCTCTTTTAACTTTAAATTTGAAGGAAAAGAAAGTAAGTAAATTTTGATTCTCCTGCGAAATGACTATTATTTGAATGTCGTCTCCCATGAAATGATGACTTTTTTGAATGTGGTCTTCTATGAAACGACAACTTTTTTTAAATGTTGTCCCCTATGAAATGACAACTTTTTTTAAACGTCTTCTCCTATGAATGGACAACTTTTTTTTAACGTTGTCTCCTATGAAATGATGACTTTTTTCAACGTTGTCTCCTGTAAAAGGACGACTTTTTCAAATATCCTCTGTCATGAAGTGACGCTTATTTAAATGTCGTCGTCTCCCATGTAGACCAAGCGCAGAATCAAACTATTTGATGTAATCGGGCATTTTTTAGTAAAAGTTGGCAACAGTTGATTTCCTGTGTAATTTGACTTGCTTAATGCGAATATGCCTGTTGCCAGAACTAAATTTTGCGTTTTTCATAGGGAAAACGATGTCACAACTTAGTTATGAAAATGACGTCATAATGAAATTATACTGCCCAACAAAGCATTATTTAAGTGAAAAAATGTCGGTTTTGTTGTTTTGAGTAGCAACACAGATAGCTTAATTCTAATATTATTGTAATAAACTAACAAAAGAATACCATTTGATATTGGATACACCTTATCTTACTCAGAAGCATTTAGTATGAAAATCCGTGTATGTTCTTCCTTCGTGAATAGCCTCTTCAGAAACAAAAATCCAATACTTCCTTGTTTCCTTATTTGATTCTTTCTGTTTCAAGTCATCCCACAGTCTCATGCTGCGTGGCTCAAGATAATGTTAGGTTGTAATAAATCAATAAGGTTGTGTGTTCTGGCCGCTGGAATAAATTATGATAATGTAACCATATATGCAAACTTTTTTTCAGATCTTTTCGCATTAGCTTAGCACTCCCCTGTTGTGAAATTTGCAACTATATATAGCAGGTGGGAGGGTCTAAGTTTAGCATACCAGATCTAGCAAAAAAATACATGTATGGCTTTGTACAGTCAGTGGTGTGACTACAATGTTACGTGAAATTCAAATTACTTTTAAAAGAAATCAATAGGGCACAACTGAAAATATTAATATAAACCCCACCCCAATTAATGTTCTAGTTACGCCTCTGTGTACAGGTGTAGATTACTGTGTGGATGCCATGATCTAAATTTCTTGCATGCTTTTAGTTTATGAAGGCAAGCAAACGTTGTAGCAACCAAACAGATTTCAACAATGCTGAAGAAATTTTCGTCATGCTCAGAAAATGTGCGCATGCTCTGACACTGCCTCTTTATGCCTATTGTTCACTCGAGTTTATGGAAGTCCGTCGCGAAGCGAGGATGACTTCAGTGGCGCCTCATATGTGAGCGTAGCCCGAAGTCCGATGCGCAGATTCTTCCACACACCGGGCAGGCTACGGCAGCAGCAGGGTTTGCTCTCCTGTCCTTCCTGGCCTGGCGTTTGGCATCAAGTTGCTCAAGTCGACGGTCCTCGAAGGCATTGACCCCGTACAGTGTAGACTGCCTCCAGGCAGTACGGTTGGCAGCCAGTCCTTCCCAACCATCGACGGGGATGTTGCAGGCCCTAAGGGACTGCTTCAAGGAGTCTTTGTAGCGCTTGATCTGGCCTCCCTGCTTTCTTGTGCCGCTGGCCAGTTCAGAACAGAAGAGCTGCTTGGGAAGACGGCTGTCTTCCATACGCATCACGCGGCCTGACCATCTCAACTGGGACTGCATGATCAAGGCCTCGATTCCAGGCAGGGAGGCATAGCGAAGGACCTCTTGGTTGGTCACACGGTCCTCCCAGTGGATACCCAGGAGTCTGCACAAACAGCGGAGATGAAACTGGTCCAGTTTTTTGATGTGGCGGCGATAGCAGGTCCACGTTTCACAGCAGTATAGGAGCGATGTCAGTACCACAGCTCTGTAGACTGCGACTTTCGTTTTCTGCGTGATGCCCTTCTCGTGCCACACTCTTGTCCAAAGGCGTCGAAAGGCGCTGCTAGCCTTTGCCAGTCGACAGGAAATTTCCCTGTCCAGGGTCCCAGACGAGGAGAGGCAACTACCTAGGTAGGTGAAGTCCTCCACATTCTTCAGCTGGGCACCGTCAATCTCAATGACTGGTTCTGGCTTGCTAGCACCAGGGGCTGCTTGGTACATGACCTCAGTCTTCTTGATGCTGATTGTTAGACCAAAGGCTTTAGCAGCGGTCGAGAAACAATCTGCCAGGCATTGCAAGTCTTCTTCAGAATGGGCGCCAAGCGCACAGTCGTCAGCAAAGGAAGTCGCGGACCAGGGCTTCACGCACTTTGGTCTTGGCCTTCTGACGACGTAGATCGAAAAAACGTCCATCTGTCCTGTATCTGATCCTGATGCCGGCGCTGGTTTGGGTTAGTGCAGCTGACAGCATCTCGGCGAACAGCAGGCTGAAGAGTGTGGGAGCCAGGACGCAGCCCTGCTTGACTCCGTTGGTGACAGGGAAGGGCTCGGAGACATCCCCATTTTCGACCACCCTGGCCATCATGCCATCATGGAAGGACTGAACGGCTCTGACGAACTTGGGGGGGCAGCCTAGTTTAGACAGGATGGGCCAGAGGCCGGGTCTGCTGACGGTGTCGAAGGCCTTGGTCAGGTCAATGAAGAGCAGGTAGAGGTCTTGATTCTGCTCGATGCACTTTTCCTGCAGTTGCTTGACTGCAAACACCATGTCCACTGTACCTCTATCCTGCCTGAAGCCACACTGGCTCTCTGAGACCACGCTGTCCACTAGGTGTTCGGTAATCCTGTTCAGCAGGACACCTGCCAGGATTTTCCCTGCAATGCTGAGGAGGGAGATGCCTCTGTGATTGTCGCAAGCAGCCTTCTCGCCCTTGTTTTATACAGGTGTATGATGTTGGCGTCTTTGAAGTCTTGAGGCAGCTCTCTTCTCCCAAAGTTTTGAAACAAACTGTCAACAATAGCCTCACCTCCCACCTTGTAGATTTCAGGAGGGATTCCGTCTGGCCCTGGAGCTTTACCAGTCTGAAGCTGACTGATGGCCTTCAGTGTCTCCTCTCTTTGGTATCTCATCGAGGGTGGGAATCAGAGGTCGCTGTGGCAGGTCTTGGAGTGTCTGCTTGTCAATGGAGGATGGTCTGTTTAGTAGCTGGCTGAAGTGGGCTGTCCAACGCTCAAGGATAAGCGCCTTGTCTGTTAGCAGGGTCCCATCAGCCGCTCGAACTGGGGTCATGGTGCTGGGAGAAGGTCCATAAACTGACTTCAGGCCTCTGAAGAAAAGTTTCGTCGCGTGTTGATCGGCATAGCTCTGGAGTTCTTCTGCTTTTGCCTCCCACCAAGCATCCTTCATCTGTCTGATCTTGACCTGGGCCTCACTTCTCAGCTTCTTGAAGTGTTCGTGCTTAGGCACTGAGGCCCTTGTCACTCAGCCAGGCTGCATGGGCTGCTCTTTTCCTTGCCTGGAGGTCGAGAATCTTCTGGTTGTTGTCGTCAAACCAGTCTTGATGCTTTTTCTTGTGGTGCCCAAGGACCGTTTCGGCAGTGCTGTAGACTGTGTCTCTCAATATTGCCCACTCTGAGTCGGGACTGCCTTCAGCATGTGCTGCCTGTTGCAGGTTCTGAGAAAGGGCGTCACTGAGAGCTTGTTGAACTTGCGGGCTGTTCAGCTTGTTCACATCAAGCTTTTTCTTCACGATGCTGGGTTGTTTCCTGTGCTTGTCTGCAATCCTGAAGGATGCTTTGCAACGCAGCATAACATGATCTGACCAGCAGTCTGCTCCTCTCATTACTCGGGTTACCAGGATGTCACTGATGTCGCGGCGTCTCGTGATGACGAAGTCAATCAGGTGCCAATGTTTAGAGCGGGGGTGCATCCAGGTGGCTTTGTGGGTCTCTGGCTGTTCGAAGAGCGTGTTGGTGATGGTCAGCTCTTCCTCGGAGCACAGAGTCAGCAGAAGGAGTCCGTTAGAGTTCACCTTTCCCATGCCGTGGGGACCCATTGCGGATGGCCATGCAGTGTTGTCTCTCCCAACGCGGGCGTTGAAGTCGCCTAACAGGAGTACCTTGTCATCTCCCGGACTTGCGTGGAGGTGTCGCTGAGAAGCTGGTAGAAAGCTTCCTTCTCCTCATCAGCATACATCATCGTTGGGGCGTAGGCGCTGATGACTGTCAGGTGGGTGTTGCCAGCCAGCGGGATGCGCAGGGTCATGAGTCTATCGCTGATTCCCTTCGGGAGTGTTTCAAGCTTGCTGACAAGAGCTGTACGGATGGCAAAGCCCACGCCAGCCTCTCTAGGCTCGTCCTTCCCCTTGCCGCTCCAGTAAAACGTGTATCCAGCACCAACTTCTGTTAGGTCACCTGTTTCCGCAAATCTGGTCTCGCTCAAGGCAGCGATGTAGATGTTATATCGCGACAGTTCGTGGCCAACAATTGCTGTCATGCGTTCTGGTCTCTTGCTGTTCTTGGTGTCCATCAAAGTTCTTACATTCCATGCTGCAAACTGCATAGTTTTTCATGCTTTTCTGCCGGAGTTTTGTTTGTTGTTTTGGTTTCGACCACGTGATTGGATGCCCAGCCAGCTGCGGTATGCTGGCAAGGAGTGAGGAGGCAAGCTTTGTTTGGGTCACCTTTTCTAGACCCCTCTCCCAAGGGGGGAGCAGTGATATCCCTAAATTGGGCTGCTCCGTCACCAAGGTTGCTACCGGACTCCGCCCTTGCCTCAGTGGGAGAAGGACGACCGAATATACGCCTTGGCCACCTGAGTGCAGGTTTGTGGCTATCAGCTCCCAGCACCATCCTGTGCCTGCCACCGTCACCACTTGCCCATCGCCCCAGGGCTTCGTTTCAGTGTATGGGGTGTGGCGTACTGATTCCTGAGCATGTAGTATGGAAGTCCTGCGCTGCCCAAACTCCAAGACTCCCCTCTCAGCCTAGACGATGTAGTCCAAAGGAACACATAGATTTCCGTCATCAATGTAGTCCGGATTTCTGTCAGGTTTACTCCTTAGGCTTTTCTTCTCCCGAAGATGCCCTCAAGGCAGTGGGAACATTTATTCATGGGTGGAGCATGGCTGCTGGATGCTCGGGCGTCCGTTGACCCAGGGTCTTCACGCTCCAAAGAATCCAGCACGCCTGGACACTTCATGGGTTTGAAGCAGGTTTCCTTCTGCTACACTTGGTCGTTGTGTCTCTCCTGTGGATCCTCCTCCCTGGCCGTTGGCTGCCTGTCGCTGCTCGTCCGCCCAGTGGTGCAGTGTAAACACCGCCCCCTCATATGGTGTAGCCCGCCTACTGAGACGGTGTACCGGGGCATGGCGCTTATAGCCACATGTGAGAGATTTAGGGATGAGTGGGGACCAGTGATGCCCGTCCCCCCTACCAGGTAGAGTGCAGCAGCCAGACACCAAAGGTACTACCCCTTGTCAGAGCCCCTATAATGAACAATAAGATTTTTGTTTCTTTTGCTTTGGAGGCTTACTGGAACAAGTACATCGGAATTAATATTTAAATCTTCTTCTGTTATTGTTTTGTTCTTCTTCAAGCTTATGCTCAACTCTTTTTCTTTTGTTTGCGCTTATGTCGATGCTCATGATCTTTGTTAAATCCATTATCTTTGCTTTTGCTTGTGCTTATTTGAGCTATTTTAGTCGTGTGAACGGCAGGCTTTAAGAGCATAAATATTAGCTTGCAGTCAAGTTCGGGCTGGCCTAAGTGCTATGACACATGTACCTTCGAAATCAAAATTTGCCACTTATTACACGAACCTAATATGTAGCAAAAAATAGGATTAAAATCATGGAAATTATTTACTTGACCTTAACTTGTTTATGAAATTTTTTTTACAAATTGTTGTTTATGGTTATGTATATAGGTGCAAAATGCAATTAAACTGAAATTTAACAGAGAAATCAGTAACTTACACCAAAACAACATCATTGAAAAATCTAGTCATTTGTAACTGCGGCCATTGACGTTCCATGCAGCGCACCTGGTTGATGATTTTTTTTGCTCCGGGACATATTATTTACGATGTTTTTTAACCGGATTTAATTTGTATGTTTCTCAGTTAGCTTTCATGAACACAGTCGGGTTTTTTTGTTATCTTCTGACATCTTGAACTCGAGCTCACGATATCTATTCTCGACTTGCAACCATTCTCTTGAGATTTGCCTAACAATGTTGCTCTCGCCCACACCGGCCGGTGCCAACAATAACTCTGATGAAATATTCTTTTTATCAGACAACCAACATGGCTGAATTGCAAGTCAAGAATAGGACTATAAGTTTCTACGTCTGTGGCTCTGCACGAACGCTTCGCACTAGCTGGCAATTTATTTAGTTCGTTTTTGATAAATTAGCACCTTAAACACCAATGAGACTCTATATCTTTGTTTTTCAATTGTAAAAGAGAAGGTATTTACTTGTAAAGTCTCACCAATCATTACAAAGCAATAAAGAGAAATAATCAAAGAAAAAAAAGTTCATGGTTTTTTTTGTTTGATTTATATTTCGATAACAAGCAGAATAATGGTACATAGAATAATGGTCCTGAAAAGTCACAAATTAATCGTTGTTGGCGTTTTTATATCAACAAAAAACATATTTCCTTTACACACACTAGAGATACATACAGATATTATTTGTACTATCAGAATGATTTAAAACTTAAAAATTACATATAATTGAAAGCTATTAGAATTATATAATTAGTGCTGTAATTTGACGCCTAGTTTTCACTTGCGACATAAGCACATACAAGCAAAAAAACAAAGCAAAGCATATATCATATAGGTTATTGTTCGTGCTTGGTAGCTAATGAGTTAGCCTGCGCACCAGCTTATAACGCGCAGACTGCATGGAACTGGACGGGTTCAGTCCAGCGTTTAATTTTTTCGCGCAACTCCCACTTTGGCATAAAATTTAGCTTGCGTAAAACGTCAAAGATCTTCTTTTGGTCGCTCTCAGATACATCTTCCCAAACTACGCCCGCCTAAATAACAAAGCCGAAAAAACCTTAATCGATATTCACGATGACTTCTCTGAAATCTCGCGCGAACGATTGACAATTGGAAAAAATTCCATTGGTTGCATATAAATAAACACCTGATCCTCCCAAGGTTTGTCAATTATTTGACATGATTTTAGAAGAAGCTTCATCTCCTTTCAGCCGAATCGATCCTGTCTTAACTATAACTGAGGTTTTTTCAAGCATGATGCTAACGAAATTTTGTTCTCAAAAATCAAATTTTGTTTTAAGAGTTTTCCACAATCTATATCGGCTCACATTTTCATGCAGTATAACTCTACAATAAATGCTTTGCAAGATTTTAGCTCAATGTTTCATTAGAGATTGTGAATATCTTGTTGAAGTTTATGGTGTAAAATCTTTTACATGTACATACCATGCCATTTAGATCCTTAACTCTTTGCTCATTCAATTTCCATTGCTCTATGAGAATGGCCAAGAGTCGCTCCATTTCGACTTCTTTTTTTCGAAATGCTACGTTATATTTCTTTTCCATTGTCCACATTACGGCCTGCGCACAAAAATCAACTGAAGGTCATTACTTGCGCACATGCTATTTTATTATGCGTGTGTCGTATAAATTTTTTGCTGTCCTTTGATGTAAAAAGTTAAACATCGTGTTCTCCCTCTCCCATTTCACCCAATATAATTATGTAACCAAGAGTACCTTGCAACAATTCTTTTCTTTATACGAACGCCCAAACTTGGAAAGCTACATGTAAATTTAATAGAGGAACATTACACAATAGGATTAGCTAGCTGATATAATGAATAAATAGTACGAGCCTATTAAAAAATATCAAACTAATGACTACAACAATTTCAATAACTTTTGGAAACTAGACTTTGTGTTCCTCGAAGAAGTCCGTGAAATTTTGACATGTTATGTGCTGTCTACTTTACTATACCTGTGCCACATTGTTTGAATCTTCTTCCACTTTTACTTTATTCCACTTTTGGCGTTTCATTTTTTGGCGTTTCATTTCATTCAGATTGCTTGACATCTCCTGTGCATAAATAGAAAAGCACATATAGTTACCTTGAACGCACAAGTCATACACAGCACTCTCGGTTTTCACTGCCTGTGAGTCCTGTCTTAAAACTTTAAAGCTTTCTTTTTCATTCAGAGTGCTTGACATCTTCTGTGCATATAGATAAATAAGCACATACGACTACGATGAATTTGAAAATCACACACAACACTGTCAGTTTATAGCTTTACCATACAAATAATTACACCACCTTTGAGTCCTGCCATGAAACTCTAAAGCTTTCCCCTGTACTGAGATCTTCTGCATCTGTTTTTTCAAAATCTTTTGTAGCCTTTTGAATTATGTAAGAACGATTAATGTATTGCTCATTTTATCCCCGTAGCAATAGAAGAAGGTGGCGAATGACAGCCTTTTTTGGAGTGAAAATATAGAGCATTGACGTTCTTGTACCCCCCTCTCCCCCTAATCCCATTTGCTTGAAATCCTCAGAGAGGTTTTACACTAACTGTGATCTTTTCTGTCGTCATTGCTCTGGCATATACAAGCACACGTCTATCAAATGGGAAAAAGTTTAAGTTGTCTGATTTATCTCTAACTACCTTAACTTTTTCAGTTGAAAGGCTTAAACTTAAATTCAAAGTCTGGAAAAACATTTCTTAGCAATAATTTAAAAAATGGAGTAAACAGGATAACATGAGACAAGAATGTTTTGAATTCACTCATTATTTATGATCCATTACCTTCGACTTGACAGAAAGATTTATGTTTTGAACAGTTGGAAGTTCATCAAAGTCTTTCAACCTCTTTTTGAAAAAAAAGCCATATTTTTAAGACTGCATATTTCTTGTTGGACTCTATATTTTATGTTTTATCATGGATATTTTAAGTGTTACCTTCATGATTGAGTAATTAAGGTCTCTGGATTCACAAGCTCCTAGGGTTTGCATGTTAAAACCATCAACGCACATTTTTTTATCCTTTTCAAATTTAAAAATATTAAGAATAAAAATAGGATAATTATTATAGCTGATTGTTAAACTGGTCTTAAAAGAAACACTGATCATGCAAATAGCTATTTCAAAAATAATAGCTTTATTCAAACTAACGTTTTGTCTTTCTACAAAGCATCATCAGACACGGTAAATAAATCCAGTCTGTATTTATATCAGGGGTGGATGCAAGGGGGGAGGGAGATTAGACAAACGTTTCCGAGGAGATTGGACAAACGTTATATGCCAATGCAAACAAGAAAAACATCTTTTATTTCTTTTATAACATAACATTTGACTAATATCTTATACATGATTGGTTGAGCTTGATTTGTTCGCACAGGCTAATGCAAACACAGCAATGGAGCAATCAATGCAAACGCTTTATTGTGTTTATTTTACAAATATACACAAATATAGATTTCCATCATTTGAGCATAAGTTGCATGTGTAAAATAGTAATGAGTTAAGTGTGATGAAGTGGGCAGCGATTAAATTG